AGACATCGACAATCCTAAAATATTGTTTCCAGTTAAAGATATACAACATTCCGAATTATTAATAGGAAATCACCATTTCACATTCGCTTTAAAAAAGGAGGGAGTGGAGTAGCTCAGTGGTAGGGTACTGAGCTTCAAACGCTAAAGGTCCCAGATTCGAATCCCGGCTCACTGCCGAAAATTATTTATTCTGTTTCATTAGCCATGTGGCGACCCTAGGGAAGTAGATCATTCTGGGGCACACCCAGCTTCTATAAACTGGGTACGCTTAATTAAAATAATTAGTTAAGGGGAAAAACTTGGCGGTTGAGCGTGATCTCGGTCATATCACCTCCTTGCACAACCGTAGATCAAGAAACAGTGCTTTCCCTAATTAGTAATGAATCCAAGAACCTCCATGGGTTTTAGTGGTATAGGTTTTTATAAAAGGAAATTAAGAGCTTAAATAAAAAAATTGGAAATGAAGCCAAAATTTTACAAACATTAATAGTTATAATCATTAAATTCGTTGACATATGATTCGTTAATATGCCTCAATAGCCTACCTATTAGTTGTAACCTATTAGTTTCCCATTAATTAATTAATCAATCAATTAAGAGTACCTACTTTGTAGAGGCTGGATGTGCACCAGGATGGTCCATCACAGGCTGATGAAACAGAATAGAAAATTAGCCATCAGCCGGATTCGAGCACGTGATCTTGAGCTTTAAAAGCCAGTGCCCTACCCACTGAACTATTCCACCATCTTCCGCTAGTGCCTTTACCTATGCTAAGTATCTTCTCTACCGTTACCATCAAGCACTACTTATTTATTCGTTAAAAAATAAAAATTGATTGGAAAAAGCATTTTTAAATAATTATGAATTGATAAAATATATTTAGTAAAACAGAGGAATGATCCTATAATTTATAAGATATTGTTATTCAACTGGGACCTGCATCCTATAATAAAAAGTGATTTCTCATTAAAAAAAAATTACTATTTTAACTACTATTAAAGAATATCGATCTTTTATTATAATTATTCATCTATTATTTATTAATCTAAATAAATGTGTATGTTTAATATAAATATTTTGTTGTTTTTTTACATACGATATTGAAATCCTTGTTTTAGTAAAATCGACCGACCAAAATCATTCTCATCCAATATAGTTAAATTTTTATTTATTTATTTTAAAAAACAAACAAAAAACATAACTATAAAAAAAATCAAATCTTGTTAAACGAATACCTTTTCTCAAAAATTATCACTAAGCAAACAGTTTACGAACCCAAATGTTTTTTCGGAGAATAGGAGAGGGTTATTATATTCGAAGACGACCATATTTTTCCATTCAATTTTTTGGACACTAAGAACCCTGAAACGGGAGATAGATTTAAAAAAACACACAGAAGTCTAAAAAATTGTATATAATAAAGACCACCATAGATAAAGGAACGCACCTAAGAAATACGTAATGCATAATGTTCAAAATAAATCATTTTTTATCTAAAATTTTCAGAATTATTTAATCAAGATAATAATTAAACCTTAATTAAAACCGTTCATATTGCACTGAAACACTACTATGTCTCATTATTTAAATAATTTAAAACAAAATTGTGACCAAAAATATATATTTAGTAATAATTGCGAACTTTATTTATTAAAATCTTACTACGAATCGAAAACAATATCTTAAAAACCTAACAATATGAATATCGAAATTCAAAGAGAATTATTGTATTATTTATTAAAACATTAACTATTAGGTCATTAAAATTTGACCTTTAAAAGATGTGAATAGCTTCATTACCATGCTGAATATTCATGATATTTCATATGAGAAAAAGGCAGTTAATTCAAACAGACTTATACCATAATATCTACAAAAGGTCATTAGAAAGAAAATTTTCAGAAATATTACTAATGCAATGAAAATCAAGAAATAGCGATTTACTTTTTAGAAGGAGGGAGTCACATTTTATTTTTATTTTTTAGTAACAGTAATTACTTGTGAATAAAAAAATAAATACCTATATATATTAATTTCATTTTACGACTGCATATTTTAATTATTTATTAAATTAATTTTAATGCTGCCACGATTTTTTTTTCAGTGCCAAAAGATTGTTGCGAGTTTTTTTTTTCGCCTGAACGTAAAAAATATAGTAAATTACAAATTTAAATTTTCATAAATATTAATTTATACCAGAGATATATAGATGAAGCTATACAGAGCATTTATCAAAAATCAAACGATACAATATATTGTTAACGTATCCAGTATTATTAGATAGTAATCGTAAACTCACGGCATCGCTCGAGCGCGCTCGGTCACTTCATTGGTTCTTGGATTGGCCCGAGCTTACGAACATTTATTTCTCTTCTAATTAATTAACAATTTTTTCATAATTTAGATTAAACGATTTTTTATTACTAATGTACAACGATCAATTATTTCAAATAAAAGTGAAGAAATTGTTGACTGTAGCCTACATGGTTGGGATTGCAGTCAGATAGAACACAAATACAAATAAACGATTTTAAAGGAAGGAGATGGTCCAGGGTGGCGATCATAAATAGACTAAATAGTGGCAAAACCATTTTATTAAAAGCCAACGTTTCGACCCAACTTTGCAGGTCTTCTTTAGTGCTAGAACGGACAAGATACAAAAAGATATAGAGATTTGTGGAAGTTACATGATATTTTGACAAAAAATTATGAACAATGTGAATAAACTTATTAACATTATAAACAGTAAGCACATTAAAATATAAACACCGTAAGCTAAGTAACAAGATCCTAAACTGAAGTAAATAGATGGCAACAATTGTTGTAGTATAATATATGCAATTGTGAATATACTCCTACAGATCTACAGGAGAGATTGGAAGAAAAGGAAAAATGATATAATATGAAATAATGGACATAAAGGGGTGTGGAGAAAGAAAAGAGAAAAGAAAACCAAAAAATAAGTAAATAAAATTAGAAGAATAAAAATAGAGACTTACAGGTGTGTTCAGCAAGGAGTTTCACTTAGAACTGGAAAACCTGAGTAAGTACCTTTGGGAAAATTTTCTGACCTGGTTGGGAAATGGTTAGGGGGTAAGTAGTAAAAATAAAACAAAACCTGGAATGTTACAGTATCTATAATTTGAAGATATGGATGGATACAAGATTGGCTATATGGATGGATTGGCTTTTAATAAAATAGTTTTGTCACTATTAAGTCTATTTATGACCGCCACCCTGGACCATCTCCTTCCTTAATAATACAACGGTCAACTATTAAGTATTCAAAACAATTTTTATTTTGTGCCGACGTTTCGGTCTAATTTGGAGGCCTTCATCAGGCACGAAATAAAATAAAAATGAAAACCTTTTATTTTTATTTGTGTGCTCTCTGATTGCAACCCCAACTTCTCAACCATATTACAGATAAATAAACTTAAAGTTACTTTAGAAAAGGAAATTTTGCCATTTAAGCCCTGTCAGACTATTTCAATGATAATATCATCTGCCTGATGTTAAAGACCGCTTGATTTTACGTCTTTAGAGTCATTTTCGAGAAAACTGTAAAATCCATAAATTTATAATTTCATCATATAAAGTGGCATTTCTAATTATTCGATTTTTTTTACCAAGATGCTGTAACATCATGAGTATATAGATATTTCTTAAATACGTAATTTAAATTTCGTATAAGTTTTTGTTCTTGAGATAACATGCTCACACATACACTGGCAGCTCTTCCAGTATTTTATTTTTTCAAAGATATAGAGAAAAATGTAGAATTCATGTATAACATTTAAGAATTTAGGAATTTTTATTAGATATCTATCGATAATAAAGCTTACGACTTGACTCAATTGAATTTTTTTTTATTTTTACAGGAAGAAACTTATCATTTTTTATATATAATAAATTATATACCATCAATTAAATGGTAATGAATTTTAAAAACACATTTTAATACAATAGAAATTTTAAATTAAGGTAAGACACAATTAAAATAAACAAATTCAGTTCCTTTACTAATTACACATCATTAGGACAAAAATAAAATAATTAATTTAAATAAGTAAACCCCTTTCACTGCCAGGGAAAATAATTAATTTAAGTGCATATAGTTCAGTTAAGATTATTCAAAAAACAAACAGAGAATTAATTTAGATAGCAGCAGAAGCGGGTACAAACAACATTATGAGACTTTCCCGCCATTTCAAACAAAGTTCATTACAATTAGATTTATATGAGTTACTAACCGAGCAATATGTCTGGCAGGGCATGTTATATTTGGATATATGGAAGCGTCATTTGTATGTTTAATATATAATGATTTGAATATTATGTAAATAAAATATGATATTAAGATCGACAATGTTATGTTGGCAATTACGCGAGATGAACCGCCAAAGCCAATTTTTTTTCACGTTATTATTAATAAGTCAATTAGGAGAAGAAGGTTATGAAATATTGAATTATAAAAAAAAAAAAAAAGATAGCTTAGAACTAACTGTTTCATGATTTGAATCATCAATTTGATTGAACAGTCGGTGATAAATTCAGTTTAAAAGAAACATTCAGGGATATATTCCACATATATATTTTCCAAAAAGTTCTTATTATAATAACAAGTATACAAATGACAATCTCATTCAAATAAAAAATAAATTACTAGTAATTAAACTTTTTTCCGATCACAAAGGCACCAATTTTCATAAAGAAAATAATATATGAACTTAAGTAATGAATTATTAATATGAAATAATTCTAATTTTTTCGGTTAATATTTATTATAAGTCGATTATTGTAAATCATAAGAAGAGTCCATAGTTGTTAAGTAGAAGTAGAAGAATGTGGATGTAATATATTAGAGAACACGTTTATAAAACACTAAATTCTATATTTTGATGTCAGCAGAATGATACAAGGGAAGAGCGTTTTTATATTCCTTATTCACTTTTTTTTTTTTTAAATTATAAAGATATTTTTGAGTAAAATAAAAATAACTAACCTTCGCCGAAAAGATACAACGCTGGCGGAGAATCGGTCGTCCCTCCCACCTCATGGTGCATCTCCGACGAGAGCCGGCGGCAGACTGACGTACCGCCTCCACCACCACGCACTCCTCCCACACTGTCTCCTACTCGTCTGGGCTACGATCAGAAGGAATTGATGGTAAAAATAGCCCTTGGTGGATTCAGTGTGGGCAAAAGATCAGATCTAATGTTTAATTGTAATTTAAACAAGTGCCTTTAAATTAGAATACTTGTACGGTATGCTTCTAAAGTGTCACCACTTGTAGTGACATACTTTGACTGAAATCAGAAAATTGTGCACGTCATCTTCTATATATATATAAATGAATCTACGTCTGCCTGTCTGTCTGTTTGTCCTATATGCATTACGAAACCTTTCATCCGATCCCCATGAAACTTTGGAAAGTTATTGCATACACCCCCGCGAAAGTTTCTGGCATAGTACTTCTGTCTTACGATAATTTTATATGTGTAAAAAAAATAAAAATGAAAATGTTTTTTTTTCTTTAAAGTCGCTATTCTTCGAAAGTTCTTCACCGATTGCTTTGAAATTTTGACACAGTGTTGTAATCTAATTCAGGAGTGTTTTTGGAACATTTTATTACCATCGGGTCTTTCGTTTCGAAATAGCGGCCGAAAAAGTGTCGCTATAAACTGTAGCGCCAAAACGGCTTTAACGATTTTAAAGAAACTTGGCAAAAGTCTTCCTCTTGAAACTCTTTTAATTTATGTGTATAACATTCTTTCCCGAAAACAAGTTGAAAAAATGTTACGATGAATTAAAAATTTTATTTGCCGATAACTAAAAAAGTACACAATTTTTGTTTGATTGTGCCCATCATTATTTGAAAGTTTTTTTGATTCCCTGCAAATAAAAAAAAATCACTAAAATCAGACGATTTGGTGCAGAGATATAATGCTTTAAACATTGACTGCTTTCAATTCAGAAAAGACCATTTCCTTTTTTTTTTATCGATTAATCGAAAATTTTATAGTTACTACAGTAATTGAAATTATCATTTGAAGAAGTGATATGATTCTCCTTATTTAGGTCAATACTATTATATGATGTTTATATTCATTTTTTATTTTCCTCCCAATGTATTATGGAAGTAGTATGATGATACATCTCAAATATTTGATTTGCTATTATTTAAACATATTTAATTCTTGATTAATATTATCACCGTTTATGTTCCTTTTAGAAATCAATTTTTCATTTATTTCAGTTTATTTTATTTTTTAATAAATTATTTTCTCTAACATTATGTTGAAATAACGTTGTGTCGTTTACCGTAGGATTTCTTTCATGAGTAAGGTTTATTTTTCCACTACAATTTTACAACTCTATATTTAATCAAGTTGTTATTAAGAAAAAGCAAGCAATCAACTATCTTAGGAAGGATATGCGAAATCTGTTGAGGAAGGTTGAAGGCAGCTCTAATGCACACGAAATGATATGATAAATGGTATAGCGATTGATATTTGAAAATCTTTAACATTGAAACAGTATCATAAAATATTTTGAACCGCATGTGTTGTTTTTACATCCAACTGATGGTGCGTGTTTAATAAATATGTATAGTTTCACCTTACATTTTATAATAGTAGATATATTAAACCACGCATGTATTTAAATGGAACATTAAGCCAAAATTTCAAGGCAATGGGTGAAGAACTTCCTGAGATTTAAGAGTTTGAACAAACAAACCTCTACATTTTTATTTGCCATAAAATGATCAACACAAAGTTGAACATTAAACGATGCATTAAATATAAAATAATAATAAAAATTAAACATGAAAATATATGAGTGGCTTAATAACAAAGACGTTTCTCTGTCATCATCAGAAAGCGGATATAAAGTCAATTTTAGTTTTATAAGTTCAACTCAGACTGTTTTTGATGATTAAGAATTATGGCTTATTCACTCTGATTATTAAGAATGTTCAAGTAGAATCATGAAAAATAAATCAGTAGAATTAGTTTAAATTGAAGCCATTTTACAGACAAACTTGTTTCCCAACTTTTTAAAAATGACAGATGTCCATTGGTATTAATCCACTCATACGTGCTTTCTATTTTCTTTCTTTTCCATTTTGCCATACTGAGCCACAGCAGCGCGTGGCCAGGTAAAGCTAGTAATTTATATAATATATTATAACTATATTTGATATATAAAAGTGACTATGCCATTTTCATCCCATTAAAATATTTTTGTACCGATAAATAAAGTCGAAATTCACAAAAATATTTGAAAGTTAATCTCTATACATATTGCACATATGTAGTGAGTGACTTTTTGTAATGAACTGACGATATGTTCACATTTTGTAGCTGTATAGGCATTATAGTTTAAAAATATGGTGATTGTTTAAGTATTTAGCATAGATCATTCACATAAACAAATATGGATCATTGAAAAAGAAAAGTATTTTTCCATTTCAGGGAGCCTTCAGCCCAAGTCTCTCCCCCTCACCCCACCCTCCATTCCAGTAACATCAGTCTCTGTCCCCTCCCCCACTAAATAATTCCATAATTAAGATTTAACTTTTTTTCTTTTTTTTTTGTTTAATGCAAGTTTTACATATAAATAATAAAAATAAAGTATATTAAAATTTAATAATTATTTCATGTAAAAATATAAAGGAGGAAGAAATCCGTAAATATATAAACTGAATGGATTATTTTCATTCAATCATCAATTTGATTCAATAAATATGGATTGTCCTCAAAACATTCTTAGCACCCTCCTTGTTTCTTTAAATTAATTTCTTCAGTTCTAACGTTTCTTAATAACAAAAATATTAAATTGTACATGATTGGTTATTTACATCTTTATTATTAAAATGACTCAGCATTAAAATCGGAATAGACAAACTGTACATGAAGTTTTAACATTTTTTTGCATTAGTGTCTATGCAATGTATTATATCTGTACCTTGAATCAAAAACTCCCGATGTTCGAAACTTTGTTATTTGAGTGAATTGCATGAAATAAACCAGGACATACAATAGTTGTTAAAAATGTTAATTTACAATCATTATTAGTTAGTCTCCATAAATAGCAATTAATGGGAGGACATAGGCCTTTCAAGAATTAATATGTATGTAAATTGCCCTCAGCTTTTGAAGTTAATTCAGTTTTAACTTATTAACCCTCCCCTCTCTCTCCCTTCCTCCTAAATAATTTGAAGGAGAATACAACATAATATAATACGAAAGGTTGGCGGAAAATCCAAGAAAAATAACTGAATTAAAATGAATATTAAAGAAGAGATAAAGCCTAGTTAGCTTATTACATTTCTTTTAAATCCAACTCCTCCCTACCCAAGAATGATGAATTTCATATGAAGCCTGCAATGCTAAACCATGTCAAGTCAAATGTTTGAAATTTATCAGTCCAAAAATGAGAAAAATGTAAGCTTCAAAGAAACCAAATGATTTTTGTGGGAAAATAGACTACATCTGGAATTTTATGGTAATTACAAACCAGTTATCTTGAATTGTCTTAGTGGCTTATAGCATAAGGTTGTTTCAAAGTAATTCAAAATCTGTTGTTTTTTTTCAATGTTTGTTTTTTAAATAATAAATTTGGGATGATAAAAATGTCTTAATAAAGGATTTAATATCTTTTCACTATTATTTGTCTATAGATCAATCTAATAAATAATCACACTTAGTTTTTTATTATTATTTAATAATGAATGTCTGTGAGAATCTCTGCCCTCCTCTTCGGGGACTAAAATGAAACAAAAAACTTTTTAGTTGAAGTTGAACCATTGACCATATTTCTATAACACAAGTTAATAATAAGTATGGTCAATACTAATAGGTAATAATAATAATGGTATCAAATATATGATATGACAAGATACATAGGATTTTAAAACAAATCCTTTGAGTTATAGATAAAAGACATGTCATAGAGGACAGAAAACAAAAAGAAATTTTGTAGTTCTTATTATAATAACTTATCATAAAAAATTGACTTCACTCATAATAAAGTTAATTGGTGTGATGAGCAATATCCAATGTCTATGAACTTAAGTAACTGATTACGAATACTAGCACAAAACAGATGTTGTTTGAACAAATGAACATTTACGTTTTTATTAATATATATAATGTAATAATACAAATTAATAAATGTGAATATATACAGAATTAAAATGATACTTCAGTTGTTTTATCATTTTTACATCCACCTAAAAACAATATTCTGTTGTTGTTTGTTTTCGCATTGCGCTACAGACGAGGAATGTGGTCTCCTAGACCACATCCCGATTCCCGATTTAAAGCACAGGGTAGGGTCATCAATCCTACACACGGTCGGTGTGAGTTGCCTCCAGTAGCCTGACAGGCATCACATACTCGGGGGGAGGGAAGGAATCTCGGGCAGCGAGGCTTTCCTTGTTGGACGGTTACCCATTCAAGTGCTAGCTCCGCTAAGGGTTGCATTACCTATTGTAAGCGCCTTAGCCCGCAAGGCTACCCCAGCCCCATATATATATATATATATATATATATATATATATATATATATATATATATATATTTCATATAATATAAAAGTGTTTGAACCTCAAAAACAAATGTAAGTGAAATAATAAAATTTATAACTGGCACTATGTTTCAATATGGAACTTTTTTAGGTAAGAAAAAAAATTGTAAATACAAAGAAATATATAGTTCAAATCAGTGTTATTTTTTTAAAAATAATATAATTTAAAATTTGTGATCACTTACATTATTTTTATAATTTTCAGTTATTTTGCATTTCAGAAATGAGAAAATACGCAAGAAAATGAAGTGTTTTGCAATGTCATATGCGGCCGGGAAGGCGTATATCCAGTTTTTTAAAAGTTGAAAAAGATCTTGCAGGGTGACTCAAATTAGAATTTTAAACAAATTTATGCAAAAACAAAAAATTCATTTTTTTTTTTAGATTTCAGGATGCAACGTATGGTAGAAACTCACGAATGAGCTACCAAAATCAAAGAGTTGATTTATATAACAATAATAATATCTGCAATTATTGCAATGAATATTATTATTTTTTCAAATCTTCTGTATCAGGAAAAATGGATAAGGTAATTCTTGATGAAAGCCTATACACTACAAATACTCGTAGCGAAGAGGAGAGGAACATTAATAGGATTTTTAGTTAAGAGTGCTATTGCATTTCCTCTACAATAATTTCCAATTATTTGCTTACGCATTAAAAATTAAGTAAGGTCACTAAAGTTCCATTATCTTCAAAAAGTTTGAAACCCTCAGGTCATCAACACCTGAACCTGACAAGTTTAAAGCTGCAATGACATTGAGCTCTTCAAGAACCACTCAATTATTTACTCCAATGGGGGGTTCTTTAAGACATATGGCTTTTATTTAATAATGGAAGATTCAATAGAAATAATAAATATTAATATAACAATGCTTGGATTAGAGGTAATGATTATCATTATAAAAATACTAAAATAAAATTCTAAAAAATAATTAATATTTTATTTATTTTTTTCTTTTTTTACACTGTATACAAAGAATATACATTTACTTCAATAGAATCTGTCAGAGGCACAACAGAACTAAAATATATGACATCTGTGCGTTGTGTGTTTAAAATTTAACATACAAATATTTATAATTACTGTACATACAACACAATAATTTAAAAAAGAAACTACATCACCCTTGGTGAAACTATTTTATTTACAAGCTTCATGGTATTTCAAACATCAATCATAGCAAACAAAGGAGAACAAATTTATAAATTGGACAGTACATTTTCTGTAACTTTAATCATTCAGTATAAAACAATAGAATATTTTATTTACAATGTCTTTATTATTGACATATTAAACAATAAAATCTAATAAATTATTGCATGACAGTTGTCAAGTTTATAAAGGGATTTATAAGAATGATAATTATTTAAATTTAATAACTATTGCGTTGAAGTTATCATTAAGAAAAAAAAAAAAACCTATGACATACATATAATAATTAAATAATATATATATGCTTATGTACATAAATACAAAGATGAGACAATTTTAGCCCCAATAAAACTGTCGACAGAAATTTTAAAATTCTTATATCTGAAGATGGTAAAGGTAATTGTAATACAATTGAAATAAAAAAAAAAATAACAAGTCAATAAATCATGAACCATGTATCACATAACAGAGGTTTTTATGTTAGTTTATTTCAATAGAGCATATAGAATTTATAGTATGTTTGACTTAATCGACTAAGGACAACAAAATCCAAACAAGAAATTACAATTTATTATGAGATCAAATAATTAAACTAAATATTTTACAAGTATAGATATCAATTTTAAAAAAAAGTAATAAGGCATTAGAAATAATTAAGAAGATAACGATTTTGTCAGGTACAAACAATGTGAAACAAAACTAAAAAAAAATGATCTCCAATAAAATTGCCTGAACAAATAAAAAATAGAAATTATCAATTTTGGATATTCTTTCTAATTCTACAAGGTGTTAACTAAATATATTAAAATGATTCTTTATTAAATAACAATTACATTTACATTTGTACAAATCCCATTCCTAAAGTTAAATAGAATGGAACCTTTGAGGACCATTCCAGAGGAGTATTTACAATTATGGGAATAAATAAAAAATATACTATATATACAAAACGTGGCTACTAGTTGAGATAGATCATAAATGTCTATTCCATGTCACCTCCTGGCTGGAACCTAAAAGGAAATTACATTAGGTAAAAAAATTTATAGATATTTAAATTAATTAATTCAACCACATAAGCAAGGATAACAAAATTAAGGTGACACTTAAAAATACTACATTTTGAGAAGGAGTTAGTCAGGGGTGCGGTCAAATAAATACTAAATTAAAATATAGTAATTATTTTATTTTAATTTTGCCGACGTTTCGACCCACTTTGCAGGTCGTCTTCAGGGCTACAAAAGATACAAAACATGTTGAGAATAAAAATTAAATATAAGTAGATATAAAATAAGAAGAAGTTGTCAGATACAGAAATAAAAGATGATATCAGAGATATAGTGGGTGACAATGTAGTTAAATATTAAGTATTATATATGTAGAAGATACAAATAAATGGAAAATAAGTATGAATAAAAATAAAAGTCCCATCATCTGTTTACTTACAATTAAAGGTAACCTCCACTTGCTTGTTATCCACTGATATCTTATTATTATGTTATCTTATTCTTATTTTAACTTTACTGTAACATTACTTATTCAATTTTCAATCTATTTATTCGTTAACATTCATTTTCTTTATCTGTTAACCCATAGTTATCTAATGTAATCTCTATTAGTTTGTTATACACTTATTCCTTATCTTTTATCGCAATCTGTTTACTTTTAACTTACATGCTATATTCTTCTTTATTTTTATTTTTATTCATACTTATTTTCCATTTATTTGTATCTTCTACATATATAATACTTAATATTTAACTACATTGTCACCCACTATATCTCTGATATCATTTTTTATTTCTGTATCTGACAACTTCTTCTTATTTTATATCTACTTATATTTAATTTTTATTCTCAACATGTTTTGTATCTTTTGTAGCCCTGAAGACGACCTGCAAAGTGGTTCGAAACGTCGGCAAAATTAAAATAAAATAATTACTATATTTTAATTTAGTATTTATTTGACCGCACCCCCAACTAACTCCTTCTCATATTATATCAACGGTCAACCATCTCTACATCATTATGCATACTTCATTTTAATTACAACACACAAAAAGTCATTTATCAACTATTTACAAAGGTTATTTGATGTGATGTTCCTACACCAATTAAAAGCTGAGTACTTTTTTCTTTTAACTTTCAATATGTTGGAATCAAATCTCTTCAGCAAAGATAAATTAACAACTGTTATTTATTCAAACCTCAGCAAAGATAAATTAACAACTGTTATTTAATCAAACCAATAATAACAGCAATATCTTCTTTGGTTGCACAAACAGAGGTTGTGGTAGCCAAGAATATTTAAGCATCACATTAGCAATCTCGTGTCCGAAGGGACACGGGTTTGATTCAGGTCTGAACAAGTTTTGATTTTTTTTGCAGTGGGCCATTTAAGCTTCATAAGAATCTTTTCATGGCTTTTATAAAAAGAAAACTTTAGATTATCTACTATTAGAGGAAACATATCCAATAGCTATACTGCCTCTCAGGAATTCTATTACATGTGTTCTCATCACTGATCACTGTTAGGCTCTTCTACTACCAATCTCAGCTCATTTCAATGGTGCAAATGAATTACTTGCCCATTCTATCCTACCAACGGTAATATTGTCACTGCACTAGCCTTTTCCTGCAGCTGCATAATGGGAAATTTGTAAATTTATGATTATTATTGATTAGACCAAATGTTATATATTGGTGAAATATATTCAAATAGGCTTAATTGAATTGATGTATTTTTTATAAACTCCTCAGACGTCGCAATGTACCACTTTAATGTGGGATTATTCGCTTCTTTTTCTAGAACATAGCCATCAGAGAAAATAGGAGTTTGTCGGAGCACCTCTTTTCCCATCAGTGCCAGTGGGTTTCATCAACCCTCAGGGCATACAAGACCCACCAATTACCCTGCTTTGAAATAGTTATTTCATTCAGTATGTAGGCACATTATTAATTCCAAGAAAGAACTTTCAAAGTGTTTAGTTTGATTAGACCATCTGTACATCATTATTATTTTTTTTTTTTGACATTGAAAAACTCACCTTGTTCAGTATTCCAGTTAGATTTGTTCTTACATCGGTTTATTTGTAAAAGTGAGAATTCATAACAGCATTCAGAAGTGATAAGTTAAGACATTCAAGATATCATAATTAACTTCATGGAGTAACCAGTTAAAAATATTTCACCATACGAAAATAATTTATAAAAAAAATTAATTAATTGATTCAGGTATGTTCAATTTTTAAATACTGATCGCCTGAGAATGATTGTTGACATTTGTTATAACAGTATAATCTAAGTATAGACTGACCAAGAAAATGTTTACTCTTTGAAACATATTTGTTGGAGACAACTGCTTTGTAACTGAATACATATCTTGAACAGTCCTGGCCGTCCAAACTAAACTTAATTTTGAAAGTTGTAGCTGTTTTTGTCATAATTCCTGCAGAAACGTAAACATTAAAAAGAAGTTTTAACATAGCAACAACTCGACGTCTTGAATTATTTTTTAATGATGGTAGCACATTCAGCAAATTCCCAATTAGATCCCAACAGCTAAATTAATTAAAATTTAAAAATATGCAAAAAGAAGCAATTGAAAGTAACACATACTTGTCCAATTCCAGAGCAGCATATTGCTCCTCATCGACTTCCGTCATCATCAAGTTTCCATCGGGTAACAGCAGTACAACTCTTCGAGGTCCACCTACAAGCAGAAAAGTATAAAGCTGTTAACGCACATTCAAAATAAAAGAAAGATCAAAAAAACAAATTTGGCACTAGTTCACATGAATTCCCCATGGTTCACAATCACTTCGATCACACTTGTTCATGGAATCCTGAAAATAGCTGAATATAGCCTGCTGAATTGCATCTTTTATGATGACGGCTATTGTCCCCACCACACAATCCCTTTTCATGCACGCTTGAAAAAAAAATTATTGTTATTCTTAGTTATTTTGCTTAGTAATCTGAAAATGGCGACTTATTGCAGTCATTCGTAAAAAAAAAAAAAAAAAAAAATTGTGTTTATTTTTGAGGAAGGAATTAACGTAATGGGTAAACAACTGAGGAAGAATATAATTCCAAGATGATGAATAACGGAAATCATCAATAAAAAAAATAATATCCAGAAATATAATAATTATATATTTTTATCTATTATTTCTTTTCCATAACAGTATAATATATGTATAATTTCGATTAAGGTTACATGATGTAGCCTAAATTTCGAATGCAAGTCAGCTTCTGCTGTATAACTGAACATGGTTACGGTTATAGAAGTACTTAAATGACGAGAAGCTGACTCACGAGATCGGTAGCCTTCGTTCACTTTCGGATAAACCCAAATGCATTCAGCACTCCACGAACAAGTGTGATCAGTACATGTGAACTAGTATCACAAATTTAAATATCGATTTAAAAAAAAATATTGATATATTTGTAAAACGGTAAATTAAGTTAAATTGATATTTAGCCAGGTAAATATAAACAAAAACAGGGCTGATATCAAAAAACTTCATAATAGACTGTAAATGTGGGGACTAGTACCTCATTGAATATAGAAAAACCATGAAAAGTCCCCTAAAATCCCATGTCCGCTTCTATCCAGAATGCAGGGTCAAAGATGGCCACCTAGATAGAATTTTCTGTCCAATGTTATGTATTTTCGCATATCTCTGTCAAAAACCATCATTCTTGATTCTGCAAGTACTAATATAATCAGCAAGGATACTTGTTTTGGATATCATTGAAGTTAACCTGTTACAAAAATGATAAACGATTTGTAAATTGATCTTTTTGGGGTAAAAAAAGTGAAATTTTCTCGATTCTAATTCTTTCACACCTCATTTTGAAACTATTGACAAATAGAAAATAGTGTTTCTTTTGTTTTTTGTAATCGTAAACAAGAAGAATGTTTGAAAAACATGAAATAACATAAAATTGTTTTTTAAATATTTGCTACAAAAAATGGTGGAGATGTTATGTTATAATAAAAATGTCGCGATCTCAAAGCTGAATTGCATCTGAAACTTGGAGCTGCCGATCATTTCATTTAACTGAAGGACTTACAACCATTTTAAATTGTAGATATACTTCATCTGAACACAAAACTTCGGTCAGTCGGTAGAAAGCCGGTGCTCTCTATAAAAAAATTTAAATGAAATTTTTGGCGACATTTGGAGTTTCATTTAAGGGTAGAACAGACGGCTGAAATTCTGATATGATGTAACAAATATGTTTCTAAAAAAGAATTCCCTAGACTGATGAAGTGCTCTGTTGCGTTTTGAAAACTGACAGCGTCAAATTTGTCCAGAAGAAAGTGGAAAAAAATAAATAGTCTCTCTTCTGCTTTCTTTTCTGTTTAATATTACGTTTTTAGGGCGTTGAATCTGAATTGGGAGTTTTAAAGCAAAATTTTCTAGTGTGTTCCAAGATATATGCAAAAAAACAGCAAAATTATTGCACGTTTTGTAGTTTTTTGGCTAGGTCTCCAGAACTGAGGGCTGGGTGGCCGAATGGGCTAACGCGTGTGCACTGCACCGCCGTTGCCCGGCAACTGGATATATGATTCTATGATATGAAAATAGTCACAAGTTCGCGTCCCGGTTCCAGAGGGGATTTTAAATTTCCCGCCCTCACCCTCTGGTCCGGGAAAATCTTGAGCTTTATTTGAGTGCGACAGATACTACAACTGAAATAAGACTTGAATTCTGTGCACTTTAACAGCGGCTTATCTTTTCAAATATTGACTTATCTACATGAGTTGTATAGAAAATTTAATACCCCTTAAAATTATTATAGTAAATTTCTTTAAGAGATGCATAGATTTTGAGTTTTGGGAGAAAAAAAGCAATGAAAACAACTGTTTGTTGTGAAATAAGAAAACAGTTAACTTGCTTTAACTATTCACTTTTTGGTCTTACATTAAAAATCTATTTTAAAAATATACAAAAGATTTTATGTTCTTTAACTTTGTTTAGAGTAATAATTTCGATAAAATATATAATTTCAGATACATGGCCGAAAAACTATAAAAAGTCCAGAAATTGTGTTTTTTTTTATATATCTCGGAACGTAATAGCAAATTTTGTTTTAAAACTTCAAATTCTGATTCAACTCCCTATAAAGCATATTACACTGAAGAGAGACTTTTTTTTTCCACATTCTAGTTTCATTCTACTGGACTAATTTGATATATTTGATGCCGCCAGTTTTCAAAAACAACAGAGTACATCATATCAAAATTTCATCCGTCAGTTTTAACGTTAAATGAGATGCCAAATGTCACAACTTCAACCGACTGGCCGTGTTCAGATGAGGTTAATCTACAATTTAAAATGGCTACTAACTGGAAGTCCTTCAGTTAAATGAAATGATCATTAGCTCCAAGTCCATAACTACCTATCCAGTCCGAATAGTCTGAGATGGAATACAGCTTTGATATTGTGACTTTTTTTTTTATTAAAAAATAACACATCTCCACCATTTTTCAGCAAATATTAAAAAAACAATTTTCGGAACATTCCTCCCTCTTGCTTAGGACTATAAAAAAAATTATTTTCTATTTGTCAATAGTTTAAAGTTATGAGGGGTGACAGAATAAAAATTTAAAAAAATTCGCTTTTTATGACCCCAAAAAGATCAATTTACAGCTCGTTTATCATTTTTTATCAGATTAACTTCGATGGAATCCAAAACGAGCATCCTTGCCGATTATGTTAGTACTTGCAGAATTCAAGAATTTCCCAAGGAGATAAGAGAAAAAGCATGACATAAGACAGAAAGTTCTAGATGACCATCTTAGACTCTCCATTTTGAATAGAAGCGGGGATGAGATTTGAGGTGACTTCTCATGGTTTGTTCTACATTCGATGAGGAACTAATCCACACATTTACAGCCAATTATGAATTTTCTAGATATCAAATCCCAAATTTACTGGGCTAATTTACCATATTTTCTTCTAATCTGTTCCTGTGTCCGCATGTAAATGACATTAGACAATGTAAATTAAATTTGATTAGGCAGACGGAATATTTAAGGTGTTATTAGGAACACAGGGTGTCTTAAACATTTGAATTGAAACTAGTAATTTCTAATCCTGCATCTTTTAAGCTTGCCCATAAGTATGAAATGCACAAATCCTTTAAAAGTTTTAGTAAATAAAAATGGAGTTAATGTAAATTCAGATAATTTAGTGTCTATGTGAAGTATCAAGACAGGAATGATTATAAAACTCAATTGAAAGCACGAGGAAGAATTGGTTTTAGTTAACGGAAAAAACCCACCCAAAATCTTTTGAATTCACCTAAAAATGACTACCGGAGTATTTGTGTGGTTCAACTGCACTGGATATGAAATTTGTAACACTTAAGACATTCATGTTTTAAAAAAAAATGTGAAAAATTTAATAAAAAATGAAACATTATATGTAAACCCTGTGTATAAATCTGTATTTTAAAAAAACAGTATGCCTAAATATACCTCCTGGCGCAGGTTCTCCAGCTTCTACAAGTTGGGCAACAACTTGAGATTGGGTTTCTTCTCCTGATCCATCCTGGCTGCCGGAACCTCCTTGGACCTGCAGGCTAACAAGCTCTCCCTCTTCCCCTTCCTTCACATAGAACTGTGTTTCTCCATCACCATCCCCACCAAGGATGTTCACCTAAAACAGAATAATATTATTTCATTAGTTTATTAATGATTCCCTAATTCCATTACGTCTCATTGTTAACCATTAGTATTAAACCTGTAGAAACATATTTCAAATGTATAATTTTAAGAAAGACATTATCATAATTTGAAATATTTAATCTATTAATCTTTTGACATCTCGTCAGTTTTAATATTTGTATATATACGGCAAATTCAACAATTCGCTACTTTTCGGTACAAATGTTCTGTTTTTTTTTTCTTTCTTTATGCTGAGCATTGTTAAAGATCTTGAAAAATGTTGACCACAAATAAAGTAATTATAATAAAAGTGATAAAATGAGGACAAAGTTTAAAATAAAAGTAATTATATACTAGTAGGCCCATGCGAAAAATTAGCACAGCATATTGCTAACTGATCAAATGCCCAATTAATAAGAAAAGAAAATGATGCAACATATCAAAAGATGAATAAATCAATTGTTACTTTATAGATAAATACAATCGACAAAGGAAACAAAAATTAATTTAAATCTTCATTAATGTTTGGAACCAACATGTTTACAAATTTCAATAAGCTGTATCTTTGCTAAAAATTGTTCAATTTCGATGATTTTTTTTTTTTTTTCCTTTTTTAGGAAATTTAGTAATCTTTTATATAATCATGGGCATAACCGAGGGAAAAGTGCCCCATTCATGGTATTTGAGCATGACAGGAGCTTATATTTGATACAAAACCGATTTCGAGGCTTACTGTAATAATATATGTAAGGATAAATAATTAAATCTTTTTTAATATTAACCATTGAAAAATCATATCAATTTGAAATACGCTTATAGCAAACAATATTCACTTAATTCAGAGACTTTCACACTAAAATTAGGATAAATGTCATAACCAAAAATGTTAATATAAAAAGATAAACAATAATGTACTAACCTGGCTCAATTGTGCAACCGTATCAGCATAAGATGGATCAAGGGTGAGAACTGTAGCATTTTCGTCACCCTCTTCACCAGTCGCTACGTACACACATTGCTGACCATCTTCACCAGATACCAAAAGAGTGTTGTTTAACTCTGATTTTCTTACCTTAAAAAAAAAAAGTTATTATGATTTCAATGATCTATCCATTGAGTTACAATGAGATATTTTCTCCGGAATCTGTAGCAAAAAAATGACAGAAGATAACTTTTTCATGAAAAAAAAAAATTAATTCAGAAGTTATCAGCTTTCAATGTATAAAATTATATTTGAGCATGAAGAGTTATATTTAGTGTTAAGCAGTAAATTCAAACAAAGGATACATATTTTTAGCTTACCTTATAAACTAAACCATCATCGCCAGTAATTGTAACAACATCAGAATCATTTTCATCAAAACTCTTTTTGGGCGAAACAGACAATGATCCTATGGTTCTAGAAAACAGAACAAATGAAACATTAGAAACACATATAATTATTTATCTAATTTAGATATTTAATTTCACACAAAAAAAAAAAAAAAAAAAAGAACATAAGATAAGATATGTTTTCTAATTCCATTATTTTTTTTTTCGAGTTTAAACTCCGGAACAGAAAATTGAGAATGAGGGCATTTCTTACTCAAGTTAACAAGTGAGTACAAATCTATCATTATAGGATATTTATATTTAAATGTTACTTCCAGCAACATCTTATTTCAATACTTCCTTAATATTAAAAAAAAAAAAAAAACGATTGCTCAACAAAAACATTACAATTTCTTACCCAGGCTTCAGTGTCTTTTTCACTAATGCATCTTTCCCAGAACTAGATGAATTTATTTTGTTGAGGAAGGTGCTGTTTCCTGATGAAACCAGTGGTTCTTCTTTTATGGTTGGCTATTTAAAAAAAAATATATATATAATCTTAACTGAAAAAAAAAGTTCAAAACTTACACAATAGATATACAAAAACTAATAATACTACTTCAGAAGATAGTCATTTAATAAATACGTATGTCAAATTTAGCAGGGGATAAGATAAAATTAAAATTTCATATGTTAACTAAAAATTTCAGTAATGTGAATATATGAAAAGATTAATGCTAAAATTAAATAAATAAGAGGGAAGAAAAAATTTATATGTCAAATAAATGTAACTGGAATATTTTTGAGATGGGTATATAGTCAACTGTTGAAATTGAAAGGATGAAAAATGGTCAGGATTTGCAGCCAAAAAATTATATTTATTAAGTTTGCCTATGTTTCGACCCAATCATGTGGCTCATCTTCACGGCGATGGTTAGAAGGCCAGATAAGAATTCACTTCAAACCATTGCCCTGAAACCATATATATATATGTGTGTCGAAACGTTGGCAAACTCAATAAACAAAATTTTTTTATTGCACATCGTCACCATTTACCATTCATAAAATTTACTTTTCTTCTCCTTCTCAAGAAATTACAAATTATCAACGCAGATATATTTTTCATATTAATGAATCAAACATGTTTAGATACGATAAAATTCTTTCTTAGCTAATACTATATTATAAAATTCTATACTTGTTTAAAAATAATTAGTCCATTGCTTACCATTGAAGGCGCAGACGTCTCATGGGAATTCTGCTTAGGAGAATGGGGTGGAGTAGGCTCTGGCGTTTTCTCTCCTTCAGCTTTCAGCAGGACTTTTCCTGTTTCCGGACAGAGTGTTAGTGGCCTTGGAGGACTCGCCGGTTCCAAGGGGGGTAAGTCTGAGCATGATTCATAACTATTAATAGTTTTCGATAATTTTTTAAACCTTATTACCAACATACTTAAGTCACCAACACAGGTTGGCTCCAAGAGAACCACTATCCCTCAAAATAACAACTAAACATAAAAAAGTCACACAAAACGAAAAACAGAAAATTTTGGCAAAAGTGAACACCACAGAATAGGAATATATCAAATACTAAACTAAGGAATATTTTTTGTGCTTTGAACATTTCTACTAGAACACCAATAAAATTCCAAGTTACACTAATATGTTTTATAAATTGTTATGAAAGTACAAATGGATGGAGCCATCCTGAAGGCATTATAAAGACGAGAAATTTCCAAATTAACAATTATTATGCAACATTGCTAACTTTAGTAGATCTCTGACAAAAAATTATGACAAAAGTTTGCTCTTATTCTGTATAATTAAATAATCATATTGATTGATTTGATTTTGCATATTATTTTTTGTTATTCTGAGAAGACTAACACAAGCTAATTTGTAATTTTTTAAATCTAAAACTACTAGTTTAAAATTTAAACAGGGATGAAGAAACTGGGTTCCGTTACCTGTAGGGAATAGATCCGGTAGACCAGCATCAGAATCTGAAGAAGACTCCTGAGGCAGGTCGATAAAAACATTGTCAGTATCCAGATCCTTCTTGTCACTGCTCACTGACACTGGTAAAAATAACGAAAAATTTATGGTTGAGAAAGGAAGAAAAACCCTTGATTAATTAGATAAACTTTTATTATATACGATATCGATTTAAATTATTAATTTATTAAATAAAATAAAAACCAAGCCATTTTTAACTACAAGTGTTTTATACCCAGACCGAATCTACACGGTACGGTTAAGTATTAACAACAATACAAAGTAGTAAATAAAAATTTGTAGGGCTTGTTATTTTGTATTAGAGGGATTGCAATTTTAAAAGGATTACCTTAAAAGGATGAGAATACATCGAATACAGGAATCATTTTAAAATGTCATTATCATAAGGGGGAATAGAATAATCAGTAGCAAAACGGCATTATTACCTATCTATAGTCTTAAATTATTACTTAATCCTTTATTTTCCAAACAGTAATTAAAAAAAAATATTAATGAAGTTAAGATTCAAAGTTGTGTAACTTACATAAGCTGGATTCACAAATATGAACACGTAAATTTTAATATATAAAAACAATCTCTTTTGATTGTATTTTAGATATTATTATTACAAAGAAACAGTCATCATTGCATATCAAGATTCATGTTTACGGTATGTTTTGATGGGACATTAACTGTACCGAAGAATAGACAATATATTTATTTTAAACTGACTTCTCAGTTTCAAAATTTGTCAGGATTGTACTTACAGAGCATTAGAAAAGGGTCTGATAAACAAACGTCAACATTAGCTTCAGATAACTTCCTAGAGGGTCTTCAGACCTCAAAATTGGTCCATGATTGATAAAACAGGAAGTGAATTTCCTGTCATAGCTTGGAATGAGCCCGGGTCTCCATGATATAGGAGTGTCTCCGCATTTCAGGTAAATAAAATGTATTTTATTTAGCTGTAGTTTTAATCTGGCAATAAACATAGTTTAACACCTTTGCTAATAACATTTAAAGATTTGTCAATTATTTTTATTTGTAACTGTATGTTTTTTTAAGGGTTCTCCGTAGGATCTGTGATATGGTGTGTGAACATAGACAGTGGAGACTTTGCACCAATAAAGAGCTGCATAAGATGTATGCGAGTCCAGACTTGGTCTCAATTGTGAAGGGTTTATAGTATATAGATCTGATGGTTGGGCCGTGTGGCGTGTATGCCCTGAGATGCGAATCTTAAGCGCTTGCTCGAGGATCGATCTGGTGGAAAACGTGGAAGAGGAAGACCACTCCTAAGATGGCTGGACTAGGTAGAGAACATCCTGAAAAGCATGGGAATCTGAAGATGGCGGAAATGAAATCGTCCGGAATAGATGAGAGCGGAGGAAGATCATAAGAGAGGCCCAGGTTCTTGTAGGACTGTAGTGCCAAGAATAAAAAAATGAAATATGTTTTTAAATAAAGATTTTCAAAAAACTTGAAAGCTTATATTAACTGTAATTATGCTTGTACCCAAAAAATATACCTCAATATTTCAGAAAACGTTAAAATAATTGCTAAAATCTAATTGCAATCAATTTTCAAAAATACCAATCTCATTACGATTTTTGAGGGAAGAGGATATGAGCAAACTGATAATAACAGGATAAGAAAATCCTCAGTGAAATTGGATATATAACAAATCCAGAAAACATGAGAGCAAACATATATTGGTATTCTCTCTACAATACTAGAAACTCATAATTATTAATGTATTTATAATTACATAAAATTTATATTTTATCAATTAGAAGAAAATGTGAGCAGATGTTGATGTTTCATAAACTGTGAATCCAGCTTCATTTCACCACCTTGTTTAAAGATTTATAACAATAAAGCAAACTTTCATTTAGATATTCAAAACTTTTAAAAGCATAATTGTTAATTGGAAATTAACTAATGCAGAAGATAAACAAAGTAATTCATATTAAATAACTTGGTGAACAAACTAATAAAGAATGTCTATATAGAAATTTTCAAAGCTTAGGTCACCGAAACTTGCTTAGAACAGATTCTAAAGACATTATGAGCAGGGGAAAACATTCTTAATTGAAAAAATCCTATTTTATGGAATAAATAAGAAGTTTAGTTTTGTAACTAGAATTCTCCTCCTATTCACAATACTTTAATAACAGAAGTAGCATTACTATGGACATCTAAGACAACAAATCTGAACATGAAACTATTTAGACAACAAATAAAACAAAATCTACACAACATGGAAAGATCGAAAAATCAATTATGGATACAGGTTGGTATGTGAACTATTTAATGACTTCATAATTAACTGGCCTCATATCAAAGACGGACATCTGTCATTTTCAGAAAGTGGAAAAAAGTCAGTTTTTGTTTTATAGGTTCTTCTCAAACTGTTTCTGATGATTTTATTTATGAATCAAGAAAAATACCATTAGAATTGAATCAATTGGTTTAAATTGAAGTGATGCTACAAAAATTGTTTGGTTTTTTCTCAACTTTTTAAAATGGCAGATGTCCGTCTTTGATATGAAGCTATTAAATTTATTTAAGAATTACTAAATCTGTGTATAAAATGTACAAAAACTACAGCTAAATAAATATATATTTTTTTAAATGACAAGAGTAACAGCCATTCTAAATGTCAGAAAAGGGAATTTCTGAACAGAAGTGTCAGAATTAGCAAGTTTTAAAAGTTAATCAGCATTTTTAAAATTTTATTTATTCCTTTTTTATTATTAGAAAAAAAAATCTTTATATTTTTATAAACTATTATTTTTTCTTGTTATATAGAGGATTGTTTTGTTTTTTAAAGTTATTTTTGTATATTAAAACAAAATTAAAGAATCTCACATCCTATATTTTTTTTTATTAAACTAAATATTAGAATATCTAAAATACAAAATTTTGCCAGCACTTAAGTTAATGTATCTGTCAAATCCCAATTTTTCACCAGACAAAAACATAAATTTTTATCATATTGAGATTTTTTTTTTTTTTTTAAACCAGTCAATTGTTGTACAACTAATTTAGGTAATAATAAAATAATCATAAAACCATTATGTTTTGTACTTGTGTTCTATCACATTGGGACCGACGATATAGGATTTCCAGAATAAAAGAAGTAAAATAAAACATGTTTTAGTTAAAACTAATTATAGGAAGGGAACAAGATCTTTACAGGCTTAAATGGGTCACTTGAGGATTCTCAGATAGGACGGACAATGGTTTATAGCCTAATCTTTGTGGCTGTTATTGATATAAAAATCAAACAATTTTTTTTTTAATAAGTAATGATAATCTTATCGAGTTGAACCCCTTTCATTTTGGAAATGTGATTTATATCTTAGCAAATCTAGAATTGTGAATGTAAATATACAATTTTGAAAAAAACATCCTAGGATGTAATGAAACCCAAATAATCAATAAATTATATCCTTATTAAATGATATAAAGTAAATTTAAAATACAAATATAACTCAGAATATACACAATGAGAATATTTTGGTGTCAAAACACCAGTAACTGACAAATTAACCAGATAGTATTTAAATTTTTTCACTTAAAATCAAAAGAAAGTCATTCCCATTCTAACATTTATCAGGTTATTGCCACTTGTAACACAGATAATTCACATAACAGGTAGCCACATAAATTAAAAATTTATTAAGAAGAAAAAGCATAAAACAGAAAATAAAAAATTTGAGCTTACTGTATCCAGCTCTGCCACCGCCTCTCCCTCTCATGCCACCTCTTCCGCTAATGCCAGCGCCTCGCCCCACTTTGGGGCCGAGTACTTTTCTCTCACCTTCCATACGACGCTACAAATGCATTATATCATTTATAATTACTGAATTATATAATAATAAATAAACATGTAAATATGTTGATTGATAAAATACCTGAAGCTCATTATTCGCAGTAGTGGCACCTGGCCTCAATGCTAACTTCGGGCGTATGGCAGGAGTAATAGCAATATTTGATCTTGAACCACTATGTATCAGTCTAAAATGAAAAAAAAATATATATATATATTGGCATATAATTTAAATATAATAACATCTGCAATAATAAACTAAAATCAAAACAAATAACAGCTGTTTCTCTTATGAAAAACAAAACAAAATAAACTCTGTTATAGTACAACCAAAATCCCTTAACCCTTTATAATTCTCATTTATCTTCCTTTTTTTTTATTTCACTAGGATATGAAATTTATAGTGTGTATGTAGATATATTTACTAACCATTAACTAATGACTATATATTGCAATAATGGTCCCCAAAAATGTATGATCACGAACTAATTTTGTGAAAATGAATAACAAAAATAAGATGGTGGATAAATCGAACAAATTATTTCATTGTAGTACACCAACGCCAGCTACACATAATAGGAACGACAGTTGAAAGTGACAAATAAGTATGTTAAGACTTGATAATGAGCAAATACCTGAAAATGTTATCAGTGCTCAACTGATCGGTAGGAATATAAACAGGTAGAGAGAGGTTCACTGAATTTTTTATTATTATCTTCAATTGGAAACTATTGAATTTTTTATTCAGTTGTAATAAACTTATTTAATCGATCCTAAATAAGGCATTAATTAGAATTTCTTACATCAAATCTTTTTGGCATTACCTGCTATAACTTTTCTTCTAATTAATATAACAGAATTCAATTGTATTTAATGTATGTAAACATAAGACCAACTAATAACTATAATTTATGAGGAGTTGGTCAGTGAGAGGAGGGGAGAGGTAAAATAAATACTAAATGTTTAAGAAATAGTATTTTTAATTGTTACGCCAACGTTTCGATCCATCCTGCAGGTCTTCATCAGAGCTACAAAATATAAAAGGTACATAGTGAAAATAAAATAAATGAATTATAAGTAGATATTAAATAAGAAACAGTTGTCTGATAAAGAAATAATAAGATGACATCAGAGATATAGTGGGTGACAGTATAGTTAAAATATCAGTATTAAGTATTATATATTGTAACTACACTTTCACCCACTATATCTCTGATGTCACCTCATTATTTCTTTATCAGACAACTGTTTCTTATATAATATCTACTTATAATTCATTTATTTTATTTTCACCATGTACCTTTTATATTTTGTATCTTTTGTGGCCCTGATGAAGGTGGTCAAAACGTCAGCGTAAGAATTAAAAATACTATTTTTTAAACATTTAGTATTTATTTGACTGCACATCCCGACCAACTCCTTCTCATAATATATCAGGGTCAACCATCATCATTAACTATAATTTATGTATTATAATAACATTTAAGCTTTACTTGGATATACACACCTAGTATTAGGATTAGAAACTCTGAAAGAACTATTAGGAGGTCTTCCAGGCGGCCTACCCACACCTCTTCCTCTCGTCATACCAGGCCGCCTCATTACACCTGACTTGGTTAATCCCTGGTTCTCACGGTTGACCATAATCACACCACTCTGTGTTGTAGAAGTGACTGTCCCTGAGTTAGTGCTAATGGTAGAAGCAATAGATGTGGCAGAAGCGTTTTGCTGCACAGCAAGTTGCTTAACGCTACCGGGTGAAGCTCCTTTCAATGAAAGAGCTTTGGATGGAGAAACAGAGTCAAGCTTTATGATGCCAGATTTATTTGACATTATATAAACTCCCGAGGATAGGTTGGGAACCTGGCTTGGATCAACTTTCACAACTCCCTTAGCATTGGCTACCAGTACCTAGTGGGGAAAAAATTAATAAATTAGTAAACATTTTTTTTCAAGATATAGTATGTACTAAATTGAGTTGAAACATCAGATCATTGCGTCTACTAATTTCATGAAATTAAAATTCTTTAAATTTTATGCAGACTTAAAACCAGAAAAACATCTGCCATTAAGGGGTATGAAAATCAAAGTAGAAAATACCAGTCTTAGAAGAGCCGATTGAATGTTAGTACGTTACTATAAATAGAGATTCCTCCTGATTGCTTTATATGCTATTAAAAAGAAGTGGAAGACTATTACATTAATTGTAAGAGAATCAGAAGAAAGGCTGATTTATAGTAAAATACTGAGCATTCAACTAATGTACAACCTTAACAGTTATAACCTATCATCTGGGTAACTTGGGGCCTCTGTGAACTAGCTGTGGCTTGATTTGTTTTTGTGCAATCTCCAATAATCTAGTGCTAGTATTAATTAATATTAAATTATTTAAGCAAAAAAAATTGAAAATTTATAAAATTAAGTTGAATATATGTATATGGGTGTGAGTATTTACTTACATAAATATAAATAGCAACAGTAAAGTATATAAAGCTATTGCCTCCACTATCACGGCCTAACCTTACTATAGTATGGTCTATCTTTTTCCTTTTAAGTAAAAGTAAACTGCTTCTTACAATGATACAGAAAATTGATAATAGATAATTGTAGCTAATAAAGATGGAACCAACAGTTTTCAAGACATTAATAAATAAATTATTCTGGTTTTATGACAAATGTACAACATATTTGAAATAAATTCATATAATTTTTTCAGTAATTTACAACCAAAATATTATTAAAGTAATTTACTTAGCATCCTCAAAATGTGTTATAGTGCTCGATTTAGGCTTAGCCTATTTTTCTGACTGGTATTAAAAATAAATATATGACAGAAACTTAAGAAAAAAAAAAAAGGAATCGAATATTCACAATATAATTTGTAGTTAACTAAACAATAAAACCAACATTATAACTTTAATGTTATCTCAGATAGAACAGGAAAGAGATAGGACAGGAACATAACGAGGGGCAACAAACTGTTTGCTAAAAACAAACAAAAAAGGCAAAATGCTTTTTTACCGGCCAACTTATTGTAATCAACAAATATACAACAGAGATGCAAGCTACGAGATCTTAGAAACATTACACTAGGATGCCTATAATCTCTGCCTATCACCCACTTTTTCCCAATATATTTACACTCTAAAAAGAGACTATCTTTTAATGGTTATTCTATATAATTTGAATTAAAAAAATAAACTTAGGAATAAAATTTATTAGTGGAAAAGAAAAACTAAGCCTTAGTAGCAAAGTGACATCAATCAAAGTCCAACAAGTTAAGACATTTAAGTAATACTCTGGCAGTTACCGTCAACATGTAGAAATATATCCTGAGGCTTCTTATATAGCTGTAGAGTAGTGATTAAAATACAATTATTAGATGACGAAAAGATAGGAATATTACACCTCCAAGATATATGTCAAGAAAAAGTAAGTGAAAGAAAAATGACAGTTTACCCTTAAAAAATGGATTAATGATAAAATTAAATTTTATGAAAGTTAAGAATATTTTATCAGACTTTGACCTCCAATGTTGTACTAGATGGTCTGGACTGTTAAGACAGTGGATGGAAAATAGCTTTAATTTGTAGAGCAGAAGATGTTAACTCTTTACAGGCTTTTGTTCTCAATCGGAAACATTTCTAAAATGTTAATCTAAAAATAAACACTCACTTAATATTTTTATAAGTATGAAAGTAAACAGAACTTATTTTAGAATGTAAAACCTGTTTTTATAATTCCTTCAAATTTTAGTTACTTTGTGATTTTTTAAAATAAATGAAATATAGCTTTTTAGAATTTTCTTTTTTTATTTCATTTCATGACAATCCCAATTTAATTACTGCAGCAATATTTTTTTTATCAAGTAGAAAAATGTTTTTTAAAATTAATAAAAAGATCAATAGGTATAAATGATGTGAACTACAATTAAAAAAGACAATGATTTTCAGGTGAGTTCCTTATACATTGGTTTAATTTTTCTAGGAATTAATAAATAGGAGAAGGGAGAACAGCCTAGCCTAATCCTTTTTTCTCCTTGTTACTCAACAGATTTTTTTTTTTGTTTAATACCTATTGACAAGCTTTACTGTTATCAATACAAATTTTTGGAATCAATACATACAAATATAAATGTCAATTTGTTAAAAAACTGCTTATCTTTGAAAGTTCTTCAACAATTACTTAGAAATTTTGATAGAACATTGCAATACAATTCAGGAGTATTTTTGTATGCATTTCATTACTACAGGCATGAGTCGCTACAGACTATAGCATTAAAACAGCTGTAAAGATTTTAATGAGACTTGGCTAAAGCATTGTCTTTGAAGTCCGTTTAATTTATGTATACAACATACATACCCGAAAAGAGACTGAAAAAAAAGTAACGATGGATTCAGAATTTTATTCGCGAATAACTCGAAAAGTGCACAAATGATGCAGGACTGTTTTGTATTGTAGTACATATAAAAATGTGTAAGAGTAGAAAAATTAATGTTGGAAACATGCAAACTCATATATGTTTTCCAAAAATTTTTGATAATGATTATGGTCTAATTTCAGTCACTGGGCGAACACTAATTTTATTAAATAGAAAAAATGCGTTAAAACATATTAGAGGTGGAAACTAGAGTTATCCACAGTTATTGGTTTAAAAGATATTATTTTTTAAGTTGTTATAAAAGCCTATTTACAGGAGCATCATATTAGACTATAAAGTCACACCTTCTGAAGGATTCTTTAAATTTTATTTTACCAGTGTCGTAAATCATTTGTGATAATTCCTTAACATCTATGTGCCCTGCACATTCCTGTTGCCCAACTATCTTATGTTGACTGCCTTTATAAATAAAAAAAATTGTAAAACTAAAAAAATACTCTAAATTATAAATATAGACCTGTTGGTTATGAGGACTGAGGCCAGTGCTCTTCTTAACTATGCCCCTGTTGATAGCGTCAAGAGCAGCAGATGATTTGCTTTCGTCTCCACTCGATTCGAGTCCTAAAACTGCTGCTAAACTTTCAGTTGTTCCATTGGTAATTTTGGGCTTCAGAGGGGGTCGACCAGGTCTACGAATGATGCCACTTTTACCACCTATTAATAAACATTTTCAACAATAATTATATGACAGATAATACTGATGATAGAATAGTTAATAAAAAATATTGTACTTACTCTTAGAATAAATAACTCTTCCTCCCACACTATCTTCACTGTCAGTTTCTCTTTCTAATTTTAACTTCTTTGCGAAGGGGTCATCGTCCTCATCAGAGTCAGTAACTGGCATCCTCCTTTTCACTAGAAATAATTTTTTTTGTCTTTACTGAAAACTACTCAATACAATAGTTCTTAAACTATTTCATGGTTTCTACTAATTATTGTAATTCGAATTCCCAAATTTATAAAGAATTTCTGACTAGCGACAAGGCTACACCACTTCCCGAGGAAGCGTAAATCATTGTTAAGTACCAGTTTTCTTAATAGGAATAGATTTCTATCCGCTTTGAGGGACCTACAATTCTTTAGTGGGATTTTGGTAGCAATATTCCAAGGGCCTTGGTTTAAAATCGCATTGATAAATATATACTGTCTGACCGAAGACAGTGATGACGAAGCCAAATGCAAATTTTATGATAAACTGGAGTGGCTTTACTACTGCGAAGCTGCATAAAAATAATTTTAGGGGACGCTAATGCATAGGTGGGAAGGGAAGAAGTTTATTTTCCGACAATCGGTAAAGAAAGTTTACACGATTATAGTAATGATAATGAAATTTGACTAATAAATTTTCAAATCTCGAAAAATCTAATAATTAAAAGCAATACGTTTGAAGATGAAGATATTCACAAATATACTTTACATCACCGGATTCGCAAACACGAAATCAAATCGATCATGTCTTGATACAACATAGGTGGCAAAATAGTATAATTAATATAAGATCTTATCGCAGGACAGAATGTGAGTCAAATCATGAATCAGTAATCATGAAACTTCGAAAAAAACTTGATATAAAAAAGAGTAAAGAAAACCTTTAAGATTACGAGAATTTTCATTTGGAAAAATTAAAAATCCATCTATTAGAACTCAATTTGAGTTTGAAGCTTTAGAACCTTCAGAAGAGGACTGCGATGTAACCCTGACAAAGACCCACATGCTTGGGTGATAACATCAACAACAGAAATAAAACTAATTTGAAGACGACATTTTTTCTCGATTTTATAATCAAATTATCTTATAATTCAAATGAATGTTCTCATTAAACAGACAAACTTTACCAAATACTATATTGAAAACATCTTTAGGCCGTTACAATAATTTATTCCATTTTTTCTTATAGATTCAGAATAGCATATATCATGGAAAAGTATTTATTTCGTTTTTATATTAATTTAAAATGAATTGAGAGAATTCATTTAATTTAGTTATATAAGTAACAATACACCTGTGTAATATTCAATCGGATTAAACCTAGTAGTAGATAGTGGCCCCCCCCACTTTCCCCTTCTAATAAGCATATGGAAATCAATGAAACTGGAGTTACATCAACCTTTCAAGAGATTGACTGCATTTTTTTTCTAACATCATTGAGACTTTAATTCGCACGTCGATCACTAACTACATTGGATAGATAGCTTCACCTTCTACATAAATTTGGTAACAACCAGGCTTGGTTACTGTATTTTATTGAACTCAATAATTCTATTATAGAGCATCCATCGCCAGAATCAATCTAGCACCATTACTTAAGTGCAGATGTTTCACCACATATAGTAAATTTTAACAGTTTTAATTTTGTATAGAACATCTTTTTCAATGTGATGGCTAATTTTCCTGATATAAGCAAAAACTCGAAAAACTGCACGAGGCAAAGTTTTTTTTTTTACATTAGTTGAGGACAGATATCTCGGAAACTAGGCAAGGTATCGAAAAAATGCATATTATCAATCATGTTGCGAATTTTATGAGCTTTAATTTTGCACAGAATGTCTTTGTCAATGTGATGGATAGTTTTCCTTATATAAGCGAAAACCCGAAAAAAGTGACCTAGGCACCACCTCACCACCTAGGAGTGGTGACTTTTAGTATGTTTACCTCCTTACTAGTCAAAAATTGTGTTCCCACCATTTCCTTCTATAATCATGCAGGACTGTATTACGTATAATGAAAGTGATATCTTAAAAACTTACACATTTCAAGTTCAGCATCATCAGGCTTTATCGACCCGCACCAAGCCTTTACTTGATTCAAGGCTTTCTGTTTACTGTATCTGATCGGCCGACCACTGCACATGAAAATAAAATAATTATTTTATGTACATATACACAGTTATAATTAGATTAGTGGTGATAATATATAATTTAGAAGTAATATTCGATTAATAAAAACCTACCCATATGAAAAGTTTCCAGCATTTGTAGTTTGATTGTTTTCAACCTTCCTCGATACATTAGTCTTGACTTTATTTAATGATTGTTTAGCCAAATTTTCTTCAAATGCTTTAAGTAGATGCTGGCAAGCTTCTAAATTTTCAGCAGGCTCCCAGGTATTTTGTTCACTATTAGTATTTTAAAATAAATTAGGAAAAAATAAATATTTGAAATTCACATTGATAAAATAACACTAAACTTACGATGGGTATCCTTCCCACTTAAGTAAATATTCATATTGTTTCCTCCTTGGGTTGAACCTTCGAGAAACAATTTTTTCAACAACAAATTCTTCCTCTTGTAATGTATCCTGCTCACCATCTTTTCCCTAAAAAAAATAAAGAAGAGTATTGAATTGCACTTTAACTTATTTTTTTAGCATAATGGAGCAACTGACACATCATAGGATCATGATAAATCCAATTGTAACAACATACCCAACATATACTATCTTATAAGAAAGGGATTCTAGATTAAATCTATTTTCAGTAATGCATTTATAATAATATTTTTAAAAAATGAAATCTTTCCAAAACATTCCTCTATTTAAATTAAATATATTCTCATAAATTTTCTAGAAATTTTTATCCTAGTAGAAAAAAACCCTATAAGAATTCAAATTTTCATTTTGTATTAACATAAGACATAGAAGTGTATTAAACAAATAATTTAAATTTGGTGATTTCGCAGTCTGACTTGCACAATATTGTGAAGGTAAACATATGTGAAAGTATCTGTACAGTAAGTTTGGAAAGTCTGTAGAGAAGAAAAAGAGAAAAATGACAAATAAAGGGCTTGAAAATATAGAAATGTAGAACAGTGTGCATGAAAGCAGAAAATTTTATAAGGGGATTAATTAATTAATTAGTTAAGGAAAGAGTAAAGAGCAACCAAAGCTGAATAATTGTAAAAGTAAAATAGGAGAGTCTTTGGATGGATAAAGAGAGGTGATGAACAGATGGAGCGAACTGTTTTCGGAGTTGCTAAAACTTGGTCTGGAGAGACTGCTGAGGATGAAGAGGAGTGTCAAGTATAGCAACCCCAACTGCTAATTGTGTAAATAAAACAAATTAAAGATACTTTAAAGGAAGAAATTTTGAACATTGGGCATTAAAGCTCTATTAAGCTACATCAATGGGGATAAGACCGCTTAATTATAAACTGATTCAAGTTTATTCAAAATCGTTAAGAGCTCTTTTTAAGTAAATTGTAAAAATGTATAAAATCGATGATACAAAAGTGCCATTACCTGTAAGCCATATATAACAAAAATCGGCTAACATTTGAACTTGACAGAGGATATCGAGAGCGCCATCATAGACTTGAAATAGTGCGTAAAGCCCCCGGTGAGGACGGGATAGTTGTGGAATTGAATAAAGGCTGCAGTGGTAAAATGAAGGTCCTAATATATAAGTTGATCTGTGACATATGGAGAGAGGAAAAGATGACAGATGATTGGAGATATACCCTACTCTTAAAAAAGGTAGTAACAATCAGTGCGCAAATTATAGAGGAATAACCTTATTGGGCATTCTGTATAAACTCATTTCTAGTTTTATATTAAAAAGGCTGTGAAAATATGCTGAATAAATTTTAGATGATCACCGAGGTGGTTTTATTGCTGGTAGAGGTACTAAAGAATTTCGCTATAAGATAAATGATAGAAAAATGCTATGAATATGAATAAGATATTGATCTGCACTTGTTATTCGTTGACTACAAGCATGCATTTCAGAGCATCAAAAGGTCAATACTGTAAAAAATGGAGTGCCGTGGAGTAAAGTAAACTAAATACCTACAACTGTCCTCAGTAGCAAGTAGAAGATCCTGCAGCAAAATCAAAATAAGGAATTTTAAGTTTGAAAATGTAACTAAATTTGTGTATCTTGGTTCTGCCATAAATAATGAAAATTGAATCAGCAAAGAAATCAACAACAGAATGGATGGTGATAGAGCCTACTATCCAAACCTTATACTTCTCAAGTCTCCATTATTGTCAAAAGCTACAAATTAAAGCTGTATAAAATGCTTATTACACCAATGTAGTGGAAACCTGGTGTTTGTTGCAAGAGGATTGCATGAAATGGAAGCAATAATAGAAAATAATAATATTACTAACTGAATCAAGGCAAGTAAGCTGAGATGGGCAGGACATGTGGTCAGAATGGAGAATGAACGAGTGCAGAAAAAAATACTGGAAACCCACTTCAGCGAGGAGAGGTAATGAAGAAGGATGAGAAGCAGGTTGAAGGTGAAGTGGAGAAAGTCATGAGTTTGCAATAGGAAGAGAGAAGTGGAAAAGAATAACTCAGGAGGCCAAGGGTCATGCTGGCCTGTAGCGCCGGGGAGTTAGTCATCTGTACATTATTACCATATCAAAAATTTTCAGCAGTCAGAAAGGTTATATGGTTTGGTATGACCAACGATTATTTATATGTTTGAAAAATGGATTAGAAAATTTGCATTAATTCATGCTATAAGAATAGAATGAAGTGCTGCAATGTTTTTGAATAGTTAAATACTGCATTTAGTGTATCTGCTTTAACTAAAACAAGGGTTTATAAATATTTTATGAGGGTTTGCTACAATGATTTCCAGAAGACCTTGATATTGTTGATATATCAACAGGCTCCTGCCATGAAATTGCTAAGATGGTAAATAAAGTAAACGACAATGTACAACTACTCAAATGTATACAAGTAATGAAATGTGGGTTAATAAAAATTACGTCAAAATTATAGCTTAACACCTTAGCTGCGGACAGGATATCTTTCATCCCGATAGGTGTCTGATCACCTCTGTGGACAGGACACCTGCCTTTCCGGCCGGCGATTTGGTCCCTGAGGCGGCCAGGATACCTGCCTTTCTGTCTCGGCTATCACCACTTATAGTGTTAGGGGAAACCCCGCTTCCACTATTCATCTTGTGGCTTGGTCTATGTATTCATTAGTACTCTTGAGCTCACTCAGTTAGGTCGTTCTGGTTTCTGACCATTTGGAAGCTGTCAGTTGTATATTCAGAACCCAAAATTAAATAAAAAGGTTTCAAATGAATTTTTGAAAGCTAATACCTTCAGGGTGACTCAAAATAATACGGTATATAAAAAGAAATGATCGTTTTTCTACCAAATATTTGTATTATTATTTCTTTGATAGAAAATACAATCAATACTCAAAATATAGTCCATTGTTATCTACCGTCAATAGCCATCAGCTAATCGATTGCTCAATCCCACCCTTTGGGATGGCTGTCAAAGAACTTTTGGACCACAATTTCAACTTCAGCCAAATTATCAAATTTTTTCCCTTGAAGAAAATGGGTCATTGACATAAATAAGTAGTAATCCGATGGTGTGAGGTCTGGAGATTTCCAATAAATTTTCAAAAATTTCTAACCTCTTAACTGATTGCTGAGCAGTAAGTTCATGAGGGACCAGTCTACTGCTCTTTTTCACCTTCCCCATGGAGAGTAAATGGCGACTAACAATATCTTTCGACATACCATTCTCTCTGGAAAATTCGCGAGTACTTGTGGACAGATTTGACTCAACACCTTTCTGCAGAAACTTATCAACATCCATCAATGGTTGCCAGGAGCCCTTTTTCCTTTCCAATGTCGTATCTCCACTGCTAAATTTTTCAAACCAACGCCGCGCACTGTGCTGGTCAAGAACACTTTTCCTTAATATTAAATAATTTTATGAGTTGGTTCAGTGGCTGTGAAATTTTTTTTTCCAGTAATGCCTTATGATAATTTCGTAGGACACTTTTATGTTTCTTCTTTGAAATAAATAACTAAACTGAAGCTTTTTTTGAAGAAGTCGAATGGGATTAAACAAGCTTAGAGAATGCTCTAAAGGGATTATTGAGTATTAAACTATTTAGTCCTTTGAAATCTTAAATTTGAAAAAACGGTCATTTTTTTTTTTTATACACCCTATTAGTATTTGAAACAAATTTAAGGAAGAAAAAATCCGTTTTTCCGAATGTCTATTTGGATTTCAGGACCTGTCATAGGGAAGAAACACTTGTTATGAGGTCTCGCAGTCAAAGGGCTAATTGTCCCAATGAAAGCATTTTGGTTAAGGAAGACCGAAAAAAATCATAGCAAGTGTGATTCAATGTGAAGGTTATGCTCACTGTGTTCCTCGATTTTAATGACACTATGAGTTCTTATCACAAGGTCAAATGTTCAGTAAGAAGTGATACCAACAAGTTTGAAGGTATATTCATGGAGTAATACAAAGAAAAAAGATTTTTTTCACTAGTAGTGAAACAATTAATATTATAATTTAAGCACCACCTCTCACCTCTATCCACACGTTCATTGCTTTTTCGTATATTTTCGCCTAAAAACAACAATGTTATGATAACTTCATATTCGCGAGATGGCCCTGATCCCCTTTAAGGGCTGTCGTTTTGCAAGTATGAGCAAATTAAATAAGCGCATCACCGAAAGAGCTTAACACTATCCAAACAATCAAGTTCTAGAAGTATTTTATAGTTTGGAAGAAGTACTTGCATTACTGTATAATTTTTTATGTGAACTGCTTTAAAAAAATGAAAATTCCTAGTATTTTTTTAGCACACTTTCTGCAATTATTCTGACCAATACTGAAAAAAAAAAAAAATGTAATTCTCTTGTAACTTCATCTGCAGGTCATAATTTAAAAACATAATGGTGTTAATAGACTTTTTTTTTTTTTTTTTTGTCGAGGGAAGCATAATACCACTGATCTTCAGATTTAACATATTTCAGCCGTATTTATGGATAAATTCAAATAAAAAGACTTTGAATATTATTATGTATTCTTAATTGTGATCTGTAGGCAAAGTTGGAGGAGAAATTTATTATATCTTTTATTAAAAAAATGTAAACTAATAAAAAATAATTGATAATTTTTATTCTGGTATTCGTGGTCTAAAGGACTCATCACTAAAAGGGTACCATAGGAATAAAGAAAAGGAAAAAAAAATGAAGATTTTTGTTTATGTTAGTTTCCGTCCCACTATTGAAAGAACCAATGAAGTTGAGCAAAGAGAATTCTAAATAGTTCAGAGAAATTTACAGGCAATTGTAAAAAAAAACCATGTGCCTGGTACGTTTTTCACACTATATATATATATATTTTTTTTTCATCCGCACGGCTACCCCAGCCAATATATACATGTATATATATATTTTTTTTATGAAATATGAATAAATCTAATGTTCAAAATGTTATTATTCTTAATTTAAAGTTCTGAGAAGATTCTGAACAATGTCACTAAGTGCTTAATCTTTGTTTGTATAGACAGCTGGATTAAAAAAACAAAGGTTGAGCATCATCCAGGATAACTTATTAATAATAATTTAATGATAAGTTAATAAAAGCAAACATGCAATAATGAGAGCACATGCATAATGTGAAAGTATGCTTTCGAAACACAGACTAATGTACTACAACATTTAATAAATAACAATGGGAATAACATTTTAAAGGTTTATAAGATATAGTTTCCTTGTCCCAGCAAATCATAAACGATGACCATGTAAAAAAAAATATCCTTCAATAGTGATGAACCCTCAGTGGAAGCATTATTGTACTAATATTAATATTAAAGTATTGTACAATTCACATTCATTAATAAATCTTAATTACACTAATGATATGTTCCTCAATAACAATATCTTTAGAACAATTTAAATTGAAATAAATTTTTACACCTTAAGCAGTTGAAATATTTGCAAAAGTTATTGAAAGTTCGAAAGATAATGTCAACCAGGGAAATTCATTTCGAAATATCTAAATAAACAATAATGTGAATTAATTATAAGCAATATATGGTATCTATTTTAAAACAAACATAATGACAAAGTTGTCGGTTAATTTACTTATATTTTACCTTAACCCTATGTATTTTCGTGTATCCAACTCTTGGTGTTTCACTATCAGTTGGCCCCTGTAACAGGCCAATATAAACAATTAAGAAGATAAAATGATATTAATTCAACTTAATATGAACTAAATCATTTATGTGTGTGGCACTGTACTTTTTTCATATTAGTGGAATTTAAAATTCATAACATTTCTACACTGTCAGATTATAAAATATTAGCTGCATGCAAAGTACAAATATTTTCAAAGTAGAAACCCAATAAAGTAAATTTAATTAAAAGAATTGTCAAGGAAACATAAAAAATATATTATAATAAGAGCCTGCCATACCATGCCATGCAATCCCAAACAGTGGAAATTATATACATTTCTTTTAATCATTAAATATTCCATTCTTTCCCCAGTGAAGCAACAAAACATAATGGTATCTAGTAAATAATCAAAGATTATTTTATTAATTTATATTTAAAAAAATTTAATATCCTTACTGTTCCAGACCTAATACATTTTGGATGAATCCTCTTAAAATAAACTTATTAAATATTTATTAGTTTAATTTTTTTTTAAGAGATATTCAAGAAAGAACACTTTTTTGAGAAAGAGTTTACCATGAAAAAATTAATAACTTTAATAATTTCAAGGGAACAATTCAACAATTATTGAAGCGTAACTGACAATTCTAAAATATTTTACTGCTATTTTTTATTTTTACTTTTTACAGAAATGGGTAGAGGAGAGGAGTACACTTTGTGCACTTCATTTCTAATTCTCTATTTCCTATATATTATAAAAAATTATGCTCCTAAATGAGGGGCATAATTTGGAATTAAATAAATCAAATATGCGATATGCATTAAGACAATACAAACTCCTGAAGTTTGTTATTATATAAAAGAAATCAACTAAATGCTTAATAGAGGAGCTGATGCACAATTTAAACAACTGACAACACTACCTACATCGTTCAAAATATTAATAATATTGCCTACATAAACTAATTAACTAAATAAACAATAAAATTTTTCTTTTTAACTTTTATGAAGGTTAGAATTTATCTATCACTGGCAAGTGTAATCTACTATATTTAATATGATTTTGAGCGAATGAAGGAAATTTGAACAGCTTTTATTTAATTTTCAATAAAATAGTAAATTACTGTTCCATGATTTAAATTCTTTAATGATACTACATATTCAACAGAACTTCGAGCAAAGAAACAATAGCCTAATGGATATAAATAAAAACAATAAAAATATAAGTACAATTACTACAACCCTTTATAACATCCAGATCCACTAATAAACATTATCAGAAAGAATAGATATAAGTTCCACATAGCTCTGTTTAAGCTAAATAACTACAACAAATAACTAATTGCAACACAAATTAAAGAAAGGGTTTACGCACATATACTCATAAATTCAAACACACACTCTTGTATATAAAGAGAAAGATAGAGATAGATCTTACAGTACAAAAGCTTTCTTCATAACTACAAAGCATTTAATAAACATAAACAGAACAAATCAGTTACCATCAAAACTTCCTTGTTATCTTGTGAACTATCACCATCCTCAAGCTGATTTCTTATATTTTCAATATCCTCCATTCCTGAAAAAGAAAAATGTATATAAATATACACGTATACAACTAAATGTTAAAGTGTTATGTTAAGATAAATTTTCCTGATTTTTTCGCAAAATCATAATTAGCGACATTTTTGTACACATTCCATATGAATACTTACTGGAAATCCTTGGACAAAAAATTGTGTAAATTTGAGTAGTAACAGAATTCAAGCAATAAAGAACTTAGATAAGATTGAGATTGTTCTTTTTAAATGATAAAAAATGTTTATATTCAACTAAAATCTTGAAATAGCTGTGTGTATCGGAGGCGTGCTAGGGAAATTGGCATGAACATATGAGTCCACAATAGCATAACATATATGGCTGCCAAACACGAACACGATGCTCTTAACCTGGTTAAGAATTTAAGGATCTTTCAAGTTTCACCCTTACATTAATAAACTACAGCAAATTCATACGATTTTAGAGATTCAAATTATACACACATAAAAAAAACAAAAGAATGGTCAGAAATCACTTCATAGAGATCAGTATAAATAGTGGTGTCTGATCATGACTGAATTGAAACCGAGGTGAGAAGAAATAATAAGATACTGATCAGGAAATTAAGTAGAAAATAATCAAATTCAAACCATGATTAGTTTTATTATGAATTATAAAAGAATTGCTGACGAAAAAGAGATAATTCAGTTGAGCTACAAAAGGTTAATTTATGTAAAATTGATGAGATGAAAATAAGAATGATTGGTCCTTTTCAATATTTGAGGAAAGGATCGAGAAGTGAAGACCATTGGCCAATACAACTCCTGGTTGTTTGTAGACAAGGTTATGTTATGATCAATAGTTGATCTATTTTCCTCACAAAGGGAGGCAGATCCAGCGGAGCGGAGAAGGACAAGGGGACGACTGGCCTGGCTATCATGCTCTACAAGAATCAAATAAATTATTTATATATTACAGACGGATTTATAGATAATATTGAATATTCTAATGAAATTCACAGTCATACCCTGAATATACGAGTTTTGAGAGTAAATATAAAATGTTTAAAACGTATAAAATGCAACCATTTTTCCTCAAAATGACTCCAAAGGGTCTAAAACCACCACTGATGAGATAAAATCGATTTTCATCACTTTTGATGAAGTGAGGGATATAGAAATTCGAAATTTTGTTAAGATCAAGCCATCCCCACACATCTATCCCCTGATAGGGGATATTGGGAGGAAAATATACTAAATCTATAGAAGGAAAATATTTAGGAGGAATTATAACTTTTTGTGAAAACAACAGATTCCATTATTTCTCAAAACATTGGATAGCTCATATAAGCAGAGCCTGGTGGCTTTAATGTAAAAGCGAGTAACCTAATAATAGTGGAAATAGAAAAATTATTCACTGTCAAAGTTGTTAATTCATGTTATGGAAACGAGAGGGAATGAGGTTAGACAATTAGAATTTAGATTTAAATGTGAAAATGAATTGATTCCTAAGATAAAAAAAGTTGAAAGTGTCTAGTATATACTGGTGTCAGTCAGCATAAAAGAAGTTACACGCTGAAGGCACAATCTTCTTGGGACATTATTTTGTATCAATTGGTGGAAGCATAAATAAAACTAAGAATTCAAAACAAGGAACAAAATAACTTAAATAGTTTTTTAGATAATTTCTGAATCTATCAATACTAATAGGAAAATAAATGTAGCACTATACTATAGTACTGAAATTGCTATTGAAAGAACATTTAAGTACTATTGCAACAATTTAACTGTTAATTTAATTGTCTTTATTTATAAAAATTCAAATACTAACAGCTAACATATAAATAGCCAAAATTAACTACTCTGCAGTTATAAAAATCGAAGAAAGATAAAAAAAGTTTAGAACTAATCACAATTTTCAAAAACTTTACAGAATCAAAAGGTTATTCCCGATCTTACACAGTTACCAAAATATTCCCAATTTTTATGAAATCCCCGATGCTAGAAATATAATATAGTAATGGATTAAATAAAATTATAAAAAAATAAACTACTAACTTTTTTTAACACCAGTAGTAGGCTTAATTTCTTTGATTTCTCCAGATGAATCCCTTTGAACAAGCTTTCTCATAATAACAGGTTTTTCCTCTTCACCTAAAATTTAAAAAAATGTGTGTAATAGAAAAATCAATATTTTAATTATCTAATAATCAAATAGAATAGAAACAGAACACATATATGTATTCTGAAATCTAAGGTAAAAGTGATCAAATAAGGAAACAAAGCCATTTATATGTTTTTTATACTACTAAATCCCATGGAGCAAAGTTTAATTAAAATTTATAATAAAAAAAAAGTTCATCCCTGTTCAAAAATACAATCCTACTTATATTTTATAATACATATGACTATACACTCTACACCTTTGATACGTACATATCTTTATAGAGATTTTATTTTTTCTTTTAACTTAAAAATACTTTTACTAGGGGTTAAAGAACCATGACCAAAAGGGTTCATCGGCCATGTTTTATGTTAAAACGTTAGTTTCATCGCTTCTATATATTTTAATAGGCTTATAGGATTGATAGACTCACTAGCTTCTGGGGTCTGCCATTTGGTTTTCTCCAAACAGCTAGAGTTTAAGCCCAGCAAACCTATCACACTTACAAACGTGTGAAAGAATGTTGCGTTCTCAGTATGACAGAATCTAAATAGTGGATTTTTTTTCTTACGCATGTCAACCATAAAACAGTTAAAATAGTTTAGATAACAAAAACTAATCCAAGCCATTTATAAGTACCATGAAATTTAATTAATTCGTAGAATTCAATAAATTAGGAAAAGCCTAGTACTGATCAACTGTATAATAGATAACATTCATACATTCATAACCTCTTGTAGGATTGGAACAAGACGATATACTTGCATTTCAGTTCAGTTAATCACATAAATAAAATAAGCTATTATAAAAAATTGAAAGCAAATGAAAATTTTAAAAGGAGAATATCAATAAATTACATTTCTTGTTGGAAATAGGAGATTTTAAATAATAATCTAATCATCTATAAGAAAACAGAGCTAATGATAAAATACGTTTACTGGAAAGAAAAAAAAACACTAATGAAAGCATAATCTGAAAAAAGTAAAAAAAAGGTGTTCGCTATCTAGTTTGAAAATAAACATTGCCAACTTCAAATATTACAAGGTAGAGAAAAGAAAGCGAGGCAGAGGTAAAAATAACGGCATATAATAAGGATTCTATACCTTCATCAAAATCTTCTTTATCTGCTGATTTCTTTGCAGGTAATGGCTGAAAAAATAAAACAAATATATTTATATTTTCATTTCAATCATAAGTAAATCAATTTAATTATGACTACTGACAATAAAAACTACTTAAATAAAATAGATTACTGAGATACATTAAAAATAAAAAATATTTTCATTCATATATATTTTTTTGGCAGGACGAAAATTATTAGAAAATTTAATTTTGATAATGTTAATAGGTAATCATTTAACAAATTTAGGATCAGGTTTTTGTATGATTTTTTTTTTTTTTTTTCTGAGAATCTCTCCTCCAAATATAAGCAGACCCTTTACATTATTGAAATTACAAATGTTAGCGAATGGTGAAGAGTGATTCCTAGAAATTTAGAGCTATAATCATGAGAAGTGGAGGAGAGAGTGAGGTTAAAAGTGGAAGAGAGACTGAACTTCAGCCCTTCACAAGATCTTAAAAACAAATTTTATTTCAAATTATCATTTAAAATAAAAAAAAAAATCAAATCCCTAATCAACATTAGGGACATGAAAAACTATTTTTGTCTATCAAATATGATATAGTCGATATAAAACAATCTTCATACAACAGGGAATGCTGACATTTCAATTTCCCTTAGAAATCTATGTTATACTATAATGAAAGTATTTTTCACTTGATAAATTTAATAATATTTTAATTTGGAAAAACAAAAGTCATTTAGTAAAGAAATCTATTTGTTAATTTTGCAACATGGTCTGGGTGATTTCAAATGGATTGATGATTGACTCTTTTTAAAGGCACAACTGATGGTCTTGGAGGTTTTTGGCCTTTCCCAATGTTCTTGACCATGGGTCTCGATCTCCAGCTTATTTCATAGGATTCTCTAGCCAATAGACTTATTAGTCCGTGGTACAGACCCCTTTTTATCAAATTATTAATATCCGGCTGAAACTTCGTAAATAGCTTCATCTCATCGTAACCTACAAATATTTTATTTACGAAAATTCTCGGAATTGGGGCATTTTCAATCAGGAGGTCGGCTAAAGGTAGCCTTCAAAAATATTGAGCCGTTTGGTGTGACGTACACCTCCAAATTGTCAAAATAACGAGGTTATATACTATAACATAGATTTCTAAAGGAAATTGAAATGTCAGCCCCCCCTGTGGTATGAAGATCAATTTTTATCAAGATCATCAGCAATAATTCAAGTAGAAAGGATATGTTGAGGGTGACTTTCGCCAGACAGCAATATTTATAGCATTACAACAGAACTAGATCGGATGTCATATATTCCTTTCATAAGTGTTTCATAATAATTCGGACAAGTCTCTTTTGACATATTGAAACATGAATTCTTAATTAAATAGCAAGTTTTCGATGATTTGTCAAGTGGGATTATGATAAATAATATATTTATTTTAACCTATTAGGTTCAAGGTAACTTAAAATATTTTTACACTACTAGAGAATAAAGAAAATTAACATATTTAATTGTATTCTTACCTTGATGACCGTATCAACCGGCTTAGCATACCCAAAAGTACTAAAATTCATGACAGTTTGTCCAGCAGCCACCCATGCATTTCTTATTCTTTCTGGCATTTTACACCACTTTTGATATAATTTCCATGAACTTTCTTCAATGTGTGTTCCACCTGAAATAAATTTTAAAGTAAATATAACAAATATAGTGTACAAATAACTTGGATGCTAAGTTTATTAAAACATTGATAATAGCAACATTATCAGTTTTTTCACTGTTCAATGTCAGATATCTAACACAATTCTAAAAAGTCAAAACCCTCCTTTGCTAGATGGCAATAAGAGTCAACTAATATATCTCCCTCGACTGAAATCCATCAATTTTAAATTCTTAAGAAAGGACCAAAGATAAATCTTCCCTTACTCTCCCATCAACATTTTTGTCAATCCACATTAACATACGATCGGTTTAGCACTGATAATCTTTTCTGTGGTTTATTCTTAATTCACATCCACACTGATAATCTTTTCTGTGGTTTATTCTTAATTCACATCCACAACATTACATATAGGTTGTATAATTCAGTAATTGGTTGTCTTATGTTTTCTTGGTATAAATATTCTACATAATAGTTTGTTTTAAAAAATCATAAGACGCTAATAGGTGTAAATTGTCATGTTTAGACTCTGTAAAGATCAGTAGTAAATAAATTCTTACCTTCAGGTTTCTTGACAATAAATGAGAAGAGTACTTTTAGGAAATTGAAAGATTTAAATATTTTATATTTCATCTAGAATTTTATCATTTTGATATTATGGAGCCTAGATATTTATACTTCTCTGCTTAAAACATTTCGTAGGTTACTAAACATTAATGTATGTTTGGCAAAATAAAGGTGGTAGTTTCATTTCCAAATTTTTATCATAAACCAAACTAGTAAACAGACTATTCTTCTTAGTTCATTGGAATTTAAAAACTTGACTAAACCATGTGGTGATAAATGGAATAAGAGGACAAAGTGCTTGGATTGGAGAAACAAAATAATATAGATATATTAATTATAGCAAGTTAAACAATGTGACTTGAAAGTATCCAGTTATCCACTGATACTACAAAATATTTCCAAATAGCATAATTTAAAATTAGAAATGTTCTTGGAATTAAATTGGATTGGGATAAGCAGATTGATCATGTAAACACTTCAACATTAGTGCTGAGCCATATACCCATCGTTTGGGTGATATATTTATTATCTGGTACCCAGAAAAGTTTAAATAGTACTCGGGTGATCTTAAAAGTGTTGCGCCAGTTATTACCTAACCATGCTTACGTGGCTTATATTTTATAGTTACATTTTTCAGGTACTCTATGTTTAAATGATCTTATAATGACCCAATACTGAGTTCGGGTACCAGTTGTTTAAGCAACCTTAATATATAATAATCAGAAAAAATCAGTTACTCTGCGCACAGCTATTCAAAATATCATGAATAGTACATCGGATCCATTGAAGAGAAATAAGTCAGCTATGTGTTTTACAAAATAACTTTTTTTCTGTTAATAAAATAGCACCTAGGTGTACTAAGTAACATTAACTTACACCTATGATGACTCAAAAATCATTGAAGATGATTGAACGAAGTAAATAGTTACAGTTGATCACAATTACAAATACCGTAACATACAATATATTTCACTAATATTAAGTTTCTAAAAAGTTATTAATGATAACTAATGATAATTAATAATTATAATTAATGATAATGGATAAAACATTTGGCAACAGTTCACAAGCGTCAATTATAAAAAATAGCTGAAAAAAGATCACTCCAATCACATTTTACATGGAATGCTACAAAATAGGCAAACACATCCAAAAATACTACCAATGTTCTGGCTAAAAAATTAATTTGCCTAAATTCCTTGATATTGAATTTCTTGAGTTAAGTTACATTATATTCACTTACCTAAATTAATTACTTTTATTTTATTTGGATTTCTGGTTTAGTAATTTTTATACTTAGTTATTGAGGCTCATAATCAGGAAAAATATGTAGGTTCATGATTATCATTTCTTTAGTACGATATATAGGAATTATGGGTACTAGTTCACAACAGTTCCGCACGGATTACGCATGGTTCACAATCACTTCGATCACACTTGTTCCTGGAATCCCGAATGCGTTCGTGTTTCTCCGAAAGAGAACGAAGGCGACCGATCTCTTGGGCCAGTTACTATTAACTTTCCCGCCATTTAAGTACTTTAATCTTAACCACGTTCAGTTATATAGCAGGAGCAGATTTACATTCGAAATTTAGGCTACACATCTTGAAACCTGAATTGAGCTTGTACATATAATATAGATCTGTAAAAAAGAAATAGTAATACATAAAAATCTTTAATTATTACATCTCTGGCTGCTATTTCACGATATTATTTTTCTTGTAGATGATTTCCAATATTCATTATCTTGGAATTATTACATATTCTTCGTCAGTTGTTTCCCAAATACGTTAATTCCTTTCTCGAAAATAAATACTTTTTTTTGTACCATAGCCTACAATAATCCCTTTTTTTCGGATTACCAAGAAAAATAACTGCGAATAACAATAATTACACATCATAATTACAAATCAGACAGTATAAGCATACAAAGCGCCCCCCTCCACTTGAAAATAGCCCCTCGTATTATTAGAAATCTAAAAAAATACATAAACTAGACAGACGATTGCGCAATTCTAAAAAAGGCTTGCTAAAATAAATTATAAATTCAATTACTCCAACTTCTATTGAAAAACTCGAATAACAAAAAAATCTTTTATACACAGTTATAAAAGATAATATACAGGATATGTGTATTTACAGCCACTACATGTAAGCACGTGTCAATTAAAATGTTATTACTAAAAGCTTTTTTTATTAATATGGCTTGAAGAAACTACTCAAACATTATTTTATGTTTCTTTTTCTTTTCTTTCAAAGTAATAACCATTATAATAAAAATTAATAATTAACTAATTAGTAAATACACAATTTATTAATAAGGAAGTTCCATAAAGGGAATATGTTGTATTTTTTTCAAAAATGCAAAGGGATTGTATTATGGGGCAATAGCTGACGTCATAAAAGACGACAACATTCGGCTGTTTTCGGGATTCCATGAACAAGTGTGATCGAAGTGATTGTGACCCACGCGTAAACCGTGCGGAACTCTTGTTAACTAGTACCGAATTATGTATCTCATTTCACAGATTTCCAAGTAATAATTATTAGGTAGAAGTGATGTGCTGAAGTGAAAATTATAACAGTATAATGAATCTTGATCGATTGGGTACTCTTTCAGACAAACGGCTATTTATAGATTGCAATGAACAGCGTTGTCATGTGATCTTGGCCCATTTATCGACCAGGCGTGATTCTTGTGAAATTGTACCAAACATTTCAAATATTGTTTAAAAACTTAAATAATTAAGTTATTAAATATACATGATGCTGACGATTCCCTAAGAATAATAAAGAATGAACCAAACTTACGCTTGTTTATTTTTGCTTGAGCATTTTTCCATAGTAGAAAAGCCCAAACTTGTGGCTTAGTTTCAGCAATATTGCCATGGAAGTCTGATTTCTTTTTACATACAGGTTTGTGTTTCATAAACTCTTCAACAAAATGAACCACATTGTGACAGGATCCACAAACAAGAACATCTACTTCCCTTAATTCGTCAAGTGCAACTAAACAAATTTATAACGTTAAAACAAAAGAAAACTTGTCACAAAACTTACAAACTTAGTTTAGTTGAAAAGTCACCTTTCATATCTTCAATATTCACTTGAGGATTAAGATCAAAGGGTTCTTCATCTTCTTCTTCTTTGTCATGAGCTTCTTCTTCACCTTTTGATTCGTTGAAATGAAACATTTCATCAATTTGAGTAGCACTGAGAACCTTGGTAACCGAAATTTGAGGTGTGTCACTATCAACATTTTCAGTTGTGGAAGGCTCTTTTCCATCATCTTGAGTCTGAGTAATTTGTAGACTAGAAAGTTCCTCTTCAACTGGCTCTGAGCCTTCCTGTGCCTTGTTACTTACATTGTTGTCAAGGTTTTCATCTGTTGTTTGGGTGACATTTTCATCACCATGAGTACTCACTATGAAATAATCTAAATTGAAAATAAAAAAATCATTTAATTACAAATAAAACAAATAATGATTATGTAAAATTAAATTTTAAAAAATTTATTGCTAGAAATTACTAATAAATATTTACCAGATATAGCTTCATCATTATTAATAGCTTCTTCCATTGCTCCACTTAATCATTAAGCAGCCTAAAATATTTTAAAGATGAAATATTTGTTCTCAGTAACAAAACTAAACACACATAAAAATGATTATAATTTTAAAATAGCAGCCAACATCCTTATATCACTTTACCGTTGACAACGAAAATTTGAAATATTCAGTTTAATGCAACTGGTGAAATATGACCAGAATGCATAAAAAGTTGTATCCAACATCGTTAAACTCTAAAGTGATATGTGGTTGTGCTTTGATAATCATACAGTAATTATTCCCGCTCATCACTGACTATTTTGACTGGCGAGTCACATTTCTCAACTACCATAACGCTTTAGCATTATACAAAATGAATGATATCAGCAGTAGTAAATAGTAATAAAATTTATAGAGTGCGCATATATAACTTATCATAAGAATACGTAAAATTCATCGAAAGCAAATTTTAAGTCTCTTTACCCGCCTCTAGGTATAACAATGCCTGACGAAAATTAACCAAGGTTTTTCGTTGTATACTACAAAGTCGACATAAGGTAAAATGGACGTCGAAAGCGTCATATCATTCGATCCCAGCGCGGCGTCTTAACGGCTTTATTCAGAACTAAGATTGAATGACCGCCATCTTTAAACTATTTAATTGTAAGCCATTATCAACAATATCCAACAGATTCATTGATTCACCACACTTACAGTTGGTTTAAGCAGAACTTAATAATGAAATGTAAATTTCTCGAAGTAAATCTGAACTAAAATTCCAGGATTGTAAGATGTCATCAAGTAAACTTTAATAAGCACACCCAAAAGCCATGCAATATTAGTTCTCTTTTACTCAAATCAGAGAAAAAAAGTTGATTTTGTTTACTTTACTATCAACATACAGTGACTATAATTAATTAGTTCATTAGAAACTACTGACATTAATACATTTCAGTCCATACCTTTTAAAAATAATAAGTACTCATAAGACATAGATAACAATTATGAAAAATTCTGAGGACATTCCTTAAATTAATATGATGGCTGGTAATAATGAGGAAAATCATCTTTAATAGCAGTCCACAATGTTATCCAAGAAAACTGTAAAATAAGTCCTAAAATAATCGTCATAAGAATCATACCAAGAATAGTATAGATTGGTTCTTTTAACCAAAACATCCTTGTGAACAATTGATTAGTTTAAATGGTTTTAAAATTAGCATAAGTTATACTGATAAGTTTATTAGTAAAATGTGCATGGATCTTTTCTAACTTGAAGTAGTTCCTCAAAAACTATAATTTTTGATTGAATTTTGACGCTGTTTACAACACTAAGCAGGACAACTGATAAGCAAATTATAACCTTGAAGTCAAAAAGCATTTATAAACAGTGAGTAACCTCCAGGCGCAAAAGCAAATTGAACGGTTGTAGGTTAATAGTTAAAAAATAAGATTTGTGAATTTCGGCACTTCAAGATTTAAAAGAAAGGTCAGCCAACTTTTGTATTTACAAATACTTTAAATTGTCCTAACATGGCTGATGATGATGATGTCAAGGAATACCGTTGGGAAACTGGTTATGAAAAAACTTGGTAAGTTATGGATTAAATGTACATCAACATTTTTTTTGGAGATCCATTTTTTGGAAATCATTTTATAATTTTAATTTTAAGGGAGGCTATACAAGAAGATGACCAAGGTAATTTGGAAGCTTCTGTTGCTGAAATCATTCAGCGTGCCAAACGCAAAGCACAAATGGAAAGAAAAGGACATACTAGATTGGGTATGATGAGACATATGTATATCATTCTTGATGCTTCTGAAGCTATGCACGATCAGGACCTTAAACCTACCAGACAACTATGTACACTAAAAGTTAATATTCAGTTTGCTTTACATATTTTTTCATTTTGAATACCTGGCTTACTATAATGTTTTGCAGTTAATGGAAGGCTTTGTTGAAGAGTTCTTATATGAAAATCCTCTCAGTCAACTTGGATTTATTCTAAGCAGGAATAAACGTGCAGAAAAGGTATGTTTGTTTATCACTTAGTAGCTCGAAAGGTGGGGTACTATTTAGTGGTGTTAATAGATCTTAAGGCTCCCTCCTCCCTCCAGTCTAATTGGATGCTCCCAACAGGGCTACAGTTCTTTAAGATCGCATGATCATAGTGTAACTGAAATTCCGAATGTTGTCTGTTCATTATTTATAACTGGCATAGATCCCCAACTAGACCTTTCCAGTTGGAATTCTTGTCCTTTTTTGGATTAAACAGGATTTTGATTAGCTGTAATTACATCACTGAGTTCAATTATCTTTCGTTCCAAAGGAACAATTAAAACCCTTGACAGGTCTTTTCCAGTTAAGGTTGTGGTGGGGACGGAGCATGCCATAGTATTTACAAAACACACGTTGCCCGTTAACCTGGTTAACCGAAGTTTATTTGATAAAATAATTACATGTTCCATTAACATTCGGAGACTTTTAACTCTGGCATTAATCAACCACTCTCCCCCCTGGCCCGGGAAAAACCCTCTATAGCCTCAAAGGCCATGAAGAAGTGGTCATAAATATAAAGTTGAGGTTGAGGCCTTATGGTTCTGTCGACTTCCACTACTTTTAAACTCACTCAGCCATTGTTGTAATTTCATATATAGTGTGATCATTAGCCTACACATCAAAATGGAGCACCACTTGTAAAGTAGTAGCCAATCTTTTTTATTAATATTAAACTGGGTACTAGTTCACAAGAGTTCCGCACGGATTACGCGTGGTTCACAATCACTTTGATCACACTTGTTCATAGAATCCTGAAAACAGCCGAATGTTGTCGTCTTTTATGACATCAGCTATTGCCCCATAATACAATCCCTTTTCATGCATTTTTGAAAAAAATACAACGTATTCCCTTTATGGAACTTCTTTATTAAAAAATTGTGTATTTACTAATTAGTTAATAATTAGTTTTTATTATAATGGTTATTACTTTGAAATAAAAAGAAACAAATACATAAAAAAATGTTTGAGTAGTTTCTTCAAGCCCTATTAAAAAAAAAAGCTTTTAGTAATAACATTTTTATTGATAAGTGCTTACATCTAGTGGCTGTAAATACGCATATACTGTATATTATCTTCTATAACTGTGTATAAAAGATTTTTTTATCATTTGGATAATAAATAATTTTAAGTTATCTATTATCTTTTTTTTTGTTATTCGAGTTTTTCAATAGAAGTTGGAATAATTGAATTTATAATTTATTTTAGCAAGCCTTTTTAGAATTGCGCAATCGTCTATCTAGTTTATGTATTTTTTTAGATTTCTAATAATACGAGGGGCTATTTTCTAGTGGAGGGGGGCGCTTTGTATGCTGATTTGTATACTGTCTGATTTGTAATTATTGTTATTCGCAGTTATTTTTCTTGGTAATCCGAAAGAAGGGATTATTGTAGGCTATGGTACAAAAAAAAAGTATTTATTTTCGAGAAAGGAATTAACGTATTTGGGAAACAACTGACGAAGAATATGTAATAATTCCAAGATAATGAATATTGGAAATCATCTATAAGAAAAATAATATCGTGAAATAGCAGCCAGAGATGTAATAATTAAAGATTTTTATGTATTACTATTTCTTTTTTACAGATCTATAATATATGTACAAGCTCAATTCAGGTTTCATGATGTGTAGCCTAAATTTCGAATGTAAATCTGCTCCTGCTATATAACTGAACGTGGTTAAGGTTAAAGTACTTAAATGGCGGGAAAGTTAATAGTAACTGGCCCAAGAGATCGGTCGCCTTCGTTCTCTTTCGGAGAAACACGAACGCATTCGGGATTCCAGGAACAAGTGTGATCGAAGTGATTGTGAACCACGCGTAATCCGTGCGGAACTCTTGTGAACTAGTACCTTAAACTGTTTATTCTTTTGCGCATATTGTTTCAAAAATTAAAATATATTTCATTTCTTCTCCCACTTTGCGTACAGGTCAAACAACACTTTGATTTGTGGGTAAAGCTGGAGAAGAAATAAAATATAATGGAAAAAAGTAAAGAATATCAGCTAATTAATTAAAATATAGCTGTTAAATAAAATGCCTTGTTTTAAACTGTATAGCTTTTAAACTATCCTCTTACATCTACTTTCATTAACCCAGCTACTTTATATGTTCATTTTTATAAAGGCAAATAATGTTTATTAAAGGTATACATTTCTCCTATTTTCTGTGAAAAAACAAAGTCATACTAATGAGGTTGGCAAATATAACTTTCTTTGTTATTCATATGTTTACTTTATTTTTTTTAAATGTTGACGTTTCTGGAATATATTTTCTATCATCTGAACTACCTATAGTTTTTGTCAGATTCTTTTCTACAATGTAGGATTAATCTAGTATAAGGATAAGTATATTGTTACCTTAATTATAAATTGCTACGATTTAAAATTGAATTTACTTATTTCGTTTATGGTATCCCTTTGTCTTATCATTGTTTTTATTAAATTAAGTAAATACATAAGCAACACAAAAGATAAAATAGACACATTAGACAAAAAAAAATGTTATATACAAACTAAAATGTGAAAAAATATACAAAGAAGAAACCTATAAAAACAAAACAAGAAATAGCACAACACATTTCAAATTGAAAAAAAAAAAAACATGAAAAATATCAACACCACTGCTCTAGCACAGCACGGCATAGCATATTAATGCAGCACATCAACTTTTTAATAACCCAAAAATAATAGGTATTGACCAAAAAATTAATGATGATAGTAATAATGGCACCGATTTTATTATGTTATTACTTAATAGGAATCTTGGTTGAAAATATATATTTAAGAAACATTAGACTTAATGTCTGCTTCTAACAAGAAATCAACGAAATTCCATGAAATAAGGGATAGATAACCTGACAATATATAAAATTAGGTAGGTCTAAAAAATATGACAAAAAAAAATTATATTGTTTTTTTTTTTTTTTAGATCACAGAACTATCTGGTAATTATAAAAAACAGCTGGAAGTTTTAAAAAGTAACTTTGGTCAACCAAATAGTTGTAGTGGAGAGCCTTCGTTACAAAATGCTTTGGAATTGGCTCTTTCATCCTTGAAGCACATGCCAAGCCACGCTATCAGGGAAGTACTCGTTATCATGGGTAGTTTAACTACTTGTGATCCTGGTGACATTAATATTACAATTCAGGTATTGTGAAATTTATTTTCATAAATGAATTGTTGGCTGGAATAACATTGGTTGTGACTTTTTAGAGGAATAACTTTTATTGTTACTTAATATATTAAAAAGTTAAAGGTTAAGTTCTCATATTAACGTTTGTATGTAATGAGCCGAAACAAATATTATTTCACCAAAAATGTGAGTCTCACTTAATTGTGAAAATCTCTCATCCAACATTGCTCTAGTCATCAATTCACTCTAACTAGGTTTGATTCTTATTTGATTAAATATGTTAAATCTTATATTTATTTATTTAATTTTTTGTTTTTAGAAGTTGAAAACTGCTAGTATTAGAGCATCTCTTATAGGTTTGTCTGCTGATGTAAGACTTTGTAAGTCATTATGTATGACTACTGGAGGGGATTACGGTGTAGTTCTAGATGATGTTCATTTCAAACATCTGTTATCAACACATGCTTTACCCCCACAAGCTGCTGCAGAACATAGTAGCAGTGCCCTTGTAAAGATGGGGTTTCCTCATCATGCTCCGACGGACAACAAGACTAGTTATCTTGCAATGTGCATGTGGTAAGTTTTAAGTTTGATACATTTATTTATTTGTATTTCTAACTTAAGTTGACTCTCGTTATAGACCCTCCTGTGATCTACCTTTTCTCTTTATTGTGGGAACATGCTTATTATTTGTGAGCTAGTTTAAGTGAAATTCTGACTTAACTATCTCCTTTAACTGTTTGCAAAAAAACAAAAGAAAAAGAAATCAGGAATTTTGAGAAATTCTTTTAGATTTGTCTAAGATTTTTATGAATTATTTTGTGTTTGATTTTAATATTGGATATATACATTACAAAAAAGTCTCGATTTCAATTATGTTTAATATAACTTACTATTACACTAAATGTCAATACAGAGTATTTGGTGGTTTAGTATTTTGGTAGGACTCAGAGCTAGCATGCTATAGTTTGGGAACATACTAATATGCTAAAATTTATTCTCTATTTATGTTTTCAATGTTCTATGCATTAATTCATTAATTAATGCTCTATAATTCAAATGCAAATTTAAAAGATTATATTGTTTAATTCTCTCTTCTTTTTTTTTTTTCCAGTCATTTAGACAGTGAGGAAGGGAGCAAGTTAGACGGTGGTGGATATTTATGTCCGCAGTGCAGAAGCAAGTACTGTGAGCTTCCTGCAGAATGTAAAGTCTGTGGTTTAACTCTGGTCTCAGCTCCTCATTTGGCCAGATCCTACCATCATCTCTTTCCTGTTCAACCATTTACACTGATTCCTATTGATCAAAATCGAACACCATCATGCTTTGGTTGTCGTGTACAGTTCAAAACTATTGATAAACAGGTAATGATCTGATGATAATTAATTGTATATCTGTAGAATGGATTCAATCAGTAAGGCACGGAATGAGCCCAGGTTTGTGGCTGGCTAATATTTTTTCATAGTTAAGGCAAAAATACTTCCAATTTTCTTCAAATCCCTTTAATCACATTTATTATCTCTAATGTTTCGGGACAATTTTCCCATCATCAGAGAAAAAAAAAACAATAGACAAAAAAAAAAACAACAGCCATAATAAGAAATAAGAGGACAGCTACAAAGTACAGTAACAAAACTGAAGATAGCCAGATGTTGGTTGGTGTAACAATGAATAAGAAAGGATGTGTAACACTGAAAAAATATGAAATGAATGTGACAAATATTTGAATTTTTGAAAAATGGTGCCACATCAAAAAAGCAAGATAAATAATTGTACAATAGATGAAGTAGATTGGTACTGTAAAAATAGTTTATTTAAAATGTGCTTAGTTTCAGTGAATATAAGGATTGCTCTGATGATGGGAAAATTGTCCCGAAACGTTAGAGATGATAAATGTGATTAAAGGGATTTGAAGGAAATTGGAAGTATTTTTGCCTTAACTATGAAAAATATATAAATGTAGGCTTCCTAAAAAAAGAAAAATAAGAAGAAATATTTTTTGTTCTATCAGCTACAAGTTGACTTTATAGTATCTATTTCTGTTTTGTTCACTATCATTACTTGAAAATCATGATTTTTTACTTAATATCAGAGAAACAATTTCAGTAATGAGTACTTTTAACTAGTAAAGTCATTTATTTACCCTTCAAGGTCAATTGTGCAATATTTTTATTTTCTATTATAGTTTGACTGCAGTTTTATACATTACATATTCTAAAACCCTCGGCTTTCAGATATATTATGACTTTTATTTCAACAAATTTGTTCTCAACCTGGAAAATCTTTTTTTTCTTCCTTTAGTTAATTATTATAATTTTTCATAATTTATATTGAACCATTTTTATTATACTGATAATGAGAGATGTATTATTACTTATTAGAAACAAAATATAAACAAAAGGTACTTTAAAGAAATTTGGCACCAAGCCCTGCCAGACTATTTCAGCAAAATTAATACTTATCTGAAATTAAAGAATATATAATACCATATGTTCATATCAAAGACGGACATTTGTCATTTTTAAAAAATTGAGAAAATGAGTTGGACTTATAAAACAAAAATTGACTTTTTCTCCACTTTCTAAAAATGACAGATTTCTGTCTTTAATATGAAGCCACTCATTTAGATATTACGAGTTTTATAAAAAATCATTAGAACCGTTAAGAAAAATTGTATAATTGTATAAAAGCAATGAAACAAAGTGAAATTTCCACTTTGTCAAAAAGTTGCTGTAACGCAGGCATTATACCTCTTAAATACATAGCAGTTTTATATGACTGTTTTTGAGATAAGGTGTTCATAGACCCACAGACCATTTTGCGAGACTTGATTATTTGGACTCAGAATATCTTTTAAAAAGTGTATTTCCATTGAAAACTATAATTTAAAATTTTTCTTGATCATAATACTTTTCCTTACTATATATTTCATATATACCTAAGTGAAAAAAAATCTGGTGTGGTGCTAGCATCATACAACTTTCACTTACCACCCTCTTAGCAGAAAAAGGTATTTTCAGACAAAGAGGAAGTGAAAATAAAAACTATAGACGCTATATTTATATTTCATTGTTGGTATTTTTATTTGTATAAGTATCATTATTATATATAAAAATTTTAGGATTTATATCACTGTAATCTATACAATTAAATATTAAATAATACCAACAATAGGATTTAAGAAAACCACATATGTATATTTATATAGTATTGTCGAAGTCCGTATTATATTAAGCTCAGGTTACTTATGGAAGCGTGTTGTAATCTTTCGGGCAAGTGCGGGTGTGCTTGTATTTCTTTGGTTCCTCAATTAAAACTATTCTCCGTTACGATCTCTTATTTCTCTTTAGTTAATTATCAAATTCTTTCATATTTTATATTTAACTTGCGCTCGTATTCCTTTGGTTCCTCAATTACAACTATTTTCATAATTGGTAATTGGTTGACTGTCGTGGATAATGAAAAGAAGAATAGTTGGGGTGGTCAGTCAAAAAGTAAGGCAAAAATAAATGATAATATTTATTTTTTACATATGCCGACGTTTCGACCTGAAGTTCAGGCCTTCATCAGGGCTAAGAAAATAACCAGATAACAAGGTATGAGAAACATACCTTTTATTATCTTTTTTACCATCACTACTTATGTTTCTCATACCTCGTTATCTGGTTATTTTCTTAGCCCTGATGAAGGCCTGAACTTCAGGTCGAAACGTCGGCATATGTAAAAAATAAATATTATCATTTATTTTTGCCTTCCTTTTTGACTGACCACCCCAACTATTCTTCTCTTCATTACAACTATTTTCTGTTACGATTTCTTATTTCTCCTTTATTTAATTATCAAATTCTTTCATGTTTTATATTAAACTATCTTTTATATTAGAGATTAATGTGAAATGGTCAATATATAAAGTGCCACTTCCGGTCAGCCGATTTTGACGAAAAAGTTACTAACATCCCAAGCAAATAAAAGCCTTATAATAATAATAATAAAAGGCTTAGCTAACCTGAAGGTTCGATGCCGACACTACCAATCGCTTATTATACACCTCCCTCCATCGTTTACCGTCCAAACCTAGTCTCTTCAGATCAACTTTAATGCACTCTTTCCACCTTCGCTTCGGTCTACCTCTTGGACATTTAGCATTCGGTACAGCAAATATTAACCTTTTAGGAATTCTCTCGTTACTAAGCCCGACAATTTTACAGGCCCATTTGATTCGCCGGGATGAATTCACCTCAATTATATTACCCGGATATAGTTCACGCAATTCGGCGTTGTGTAACCGTCTGAATTCTTTAGAATTCATCCTTCTTTGGTCCGAATATTCTACGTAATACTTTATTTTCAAAATCCTTAAGACGTTCATCCCTTAATGTAAGTGGCCACGTTTCGCCGTTCACCTGATAAAAACCTTAAATATGTAATTTTACTTCCGTACGGCTTTCTATTTTTGAGCTAGACTGTTAACACACATACACACTCAGACCATTTTGCGGGACTTGGTTATTTGGTCTCAGGGGACTTCAAAACGTGTAGTATTTCAGTTGAAAACTGAGATTAGAAAATTTTCATTATCGCAATACTTTCCTTTACTATATATTTCACATATAGGTAAGTGAATGTGGGCGGGGTGGCTGAATGGGCTAACATGTGTGCACAGCACCACCGTTGCCCGGCAACCTGATATATGACACAATGGATTGAAAATAGTCACAAGTCCCGGTGCCGGGGGAGTCTTTTAAATCTCCGCCCACACCCTCTGGCCCGGGAAAACCCTGTGTAGCCTTAAAGTTGAGGAAGGGGAGGACCTAAAAAAAATATATAGGTAAGTGAAAATAATAATGGATTGAAAATAATTTTCAACCAAATTTCACCCTATCTGTTTTTCACCCCCTAGGAAAAAAAAATTATTTTGTGACAGTTTCATGGAAGGTAAGATGGATTTCATTTTCCAAGAGAGAATTCTGGGAAGGGAATTCTCCCCAATCTTTAATTCCCCAACAATTAATTAGTATCAATAATACAAACTAGTGGAAATAACTAACCTAATAATAAATATAATTTACTTTTTTTTTTTTTACTATTAATCATTTTAACGTAAATATTAAATGAAACTAAACATTTTTTTGTAGATTAATGATTTATAGTACCTTTTAACCGGTATTATAGTTTTCATATTCAGGCATTATCAGTGGTACCACCCTTTAGTGTTCATTACAAGCTGTCCAGTGGCTTCACTTCATTGTTTTGTCTGAAATTCATTCATGTTGGTCAATGACTATCTTATAGGATTGGAAATTATAGACTTTAAAGGCTCCAACACACAGAACGCGATATTTAGCGCGGCGATATAGCGGCACAGTTGTATTACTATCTATTCTACTATAACAGTCACATAGAGAGCGTTACGCCACAGCGATACATGCTGTAGCGCCGAGGCCAGCGATAAATTGATACAAATTACAAAAATATCGCCCTCCTTCGGCGTTATTCTCTACCTAATGTAGGTAGAAAAGTTAGCTAATACCCAAGTTAATAGGATTATTGCAGGATTATAACGGCGTGTTCACACAGAAGGCGTTATTTAGCGCGGCGCTACAGCGCTACAGTTGTGTTACTATCTTTTCCACTATAGCAGTCACACAGAGGGCGTTACACCTCAGCGATACATTCTATGAAAAATATTGCAGGTGTATCGCCGGGGCCGGCGTTATGTTTGAAAAATATTATAGATACAAATTACAGTTGAAATTATTTAGTGGTAGTATTCATATAGATATGGAAAACACCGAATTATTTATATAAAAAGTAAGGAATTGCTCATTTTTATTTGATACGATACCTCAAGCAAATATTACAAAAACATTATTAAAAAGGAGGTTATATGGAAAAAAAATTGCGGAAGAGCAAAATATTACAAGTAATGTATTACTTGATATTACTATTATAACTATTGAACATTATAATAACTATATGTTATATCCTTTTTCATCTTGAAATCATTTAAAAATTATACTTACGTTTTTTTGATAATTTTAATTTTGCCTATACTAAAGACACGAATGATAAAAAAAAATCTGTGTATATTGTATATTTAAAAAGGTTGAGGAACAGATAATAACGAACCAAGATATATATATATATATATATATATATATGGCAATAAAAGAAATGCGTTACTACGAAATTAATATTAAATAGATATGTCATTTGAAGTAAATAATAATGTGAAATAAATCTGAAGTTTTACATAAGGAAAAATAGAGCGAAAGTTCATTATTAAAATCTCTTCTGGAATATATTAAAAAATTAAATTTTATATATATATATATATATATATATATATATATATATATATATT